AAACAAATGTTTCACTAAGCTCCAAGAAACCACAGGAAAGAACATTTCAGCACCAGAAAGAAGTGACGCGTCTTTTCACACAAATGTCTCACAAGCTCCAAAGCCTCGGCAAGAAAACGCCACGTCTTTTCGCACATGTCTCGCTTAGCTCCTTGCAGACAGCGTCTGCCCGCAGAAATTCCACCCGAGTGTCTCGTGAAACCACATTGCGACTACAGTTGCCATTTGATGCAAAATCCCCACCAAGCCCCACCAAGCTTCAAAGCAGCGGAACATGACATGAGGTGCAAACAAAATTATCTATTCATGCAATATGCCATATGCCAAACCGGGTCGTCTGATGGTGTCATTTGTGAAGCAACGGTTGTGAAGGGCTTGCCATGTTGCGTTTTGATTGCTGCGCGGTTGCGTTTCCAGTTCGGGGCTTGAACCTGCGAGTACCTTGTGAAAGGCTTGTGGAAGCAAACAGCAGAGTAGCATCTCCTTTGGTGCTATCTGACATTGAACTCGAGGAGCTGGATTCCGAGCTGGTGCTCTGACCATGACCTGCTTTCAAAATGCTTTGCTTTTTCTTGGCCAAATGTTGTTGCTTGCGTTTACTCCTCAGTCTCCTCAGCCGTAGTCTGCTAATATTCTCGGTAATTTCCTCGGATGTCTGCATCATCTTGTGATTTGACATGTTTGCAGAATCTTCTAATGCCTCCTTGTACTTCCTTGCTCGCCTTACTGTACTCCCGTAGGGCCGTAGGGGAACATTGCAATCAGGTGAAACTACTCTACCTGTGGACGCAAAGAAATGAAAACTGCAGCTACAAACATGAGAGATCTGCATGGACACCCGCAATGGTCCTGAAAATAGTGTCACCCTTCAAATGGGACAAGGGGCACCAGAGCATGTAAATCTGCAAAACACGGTATCGGTTAGTATCGGTTGAGATGTCCGTGAGAGCTCCCTCATTCCACGGCATAAGCACCAACATGTTGTTCATTAACTAACGAAACCTCATCGGCGAACTCACTTGACAATGGTGTGACACCGCTTGCAACATAACCCACTAAGGTTCAGAACTCCCATATTGAAAAGCACCTTGGATTCCATTTCACACCCATCGTAAAACAATAACAACCAAAACAATCTTCGTAGGTATAGGGGCATTGGTGCTGGGTCGTCCCCTATCAGTTGCCAAGGATTTCTTCACTTTTCTATAACCACAAGGCGGCCTCTTACATATTTTGTATTCCAATAATTTTGACGGTTGCTCACATGACAAAAAGCCGTGCGCCGAAGAGGGGTCAACTTTTTCCATTAATTTCTGGGCTCTGTTGGTTTGGGCTACATCGCATTTGAACTGCAGGTATGGGAATGCACCCTGCAACCTTCAGAAACAAATGCACCACACGCATCTACTCTTGAAGACCATTGCCGTCTTCATACAACTGATTTCATTTACAGTAAACAATGCAAAAAAGAAACCACTTTTTCGGAAAGTTAGCTAAACGAGTCTGGAAGCCATGATTTCTAGAAAGTGGGCGTGACGAATTTGAAATCATGAAACATTCATACCACTGAGCAAAACATGATGCTCTTTTCCTATTTTTTGCTTTGGCTTTGTCCAGTGCTTAAAAGCAAAACACAAAATCTTTTTAGCTAACCAGTAGCAACGGGAATGATAGGGTTATTTCTTGGTATAGAGCAGGAACGGACCATCGGGCTTTCAGAAGTGCGAGTGTGATGAGGAAACAGAGAACTTCTATCACTTTCTCACGGTTGTCCTCCAATTCCAACGCTCTCTCTGCTTGGACTGAAGAGTCTATGTTCTGTAGCAATGCGCGATGCGAACGGTTGCACCTGAGCAGGTAGCCGCCACAATACTGCTTGGAAAGCACGTTGCTGGCCGCCACCCCATAGCCAATGTGGATGAACCTCACAATCTACAAAGGTCCACTGATCCGTGAAGAGCCACAAAGTTCCCAGTAGACATAGAAATGGTCATGGTTCCTTCATGTGTTGGCATAGGGCCTTCACGCTTTGAGTTCCTGAGATAGAGGCCGCTCTATATTTCATGGTGAGATAGTAAATTTTCGGCTACTAGGCAAGCCAATGAGCAACATGCAGCCGCGCGCCTTGAAACATTAAGCCAACCACGCTGGATCGGTCTATGCCCTGGACAGTCAACTGCACGTAGAGGTGCGCCCGCTTAGTTTCACCAGCTGCATGGCACGACTCTTCCAATGTCCAGGATGCTGGTTTTTGAATTTTGTTCTTTCTGACCTCTAACAGAGACGACAGCTGCTGGAAGAGTTTCAACAAGCAAAAGCTTTTCCCAAATAAGATGGTGGGAAGTAGAAGATAATGAAAGAAGACCGGCCATCACTAAAAGCAGTTCCAAGAAGCCCGACTTATGCGCTCCACACTCTTCTTCAACATCAAGACTCTCGTACAGGGCTCGATCTGCTACGTGCGCGTGCATCTGGTCGGCGTGAAAGACCTAGAGCTATAAGTGCTGCATCCAAAGCGGACTCTGCAGAGAAAAGGATATGCACTGTATGGAGGTGACATCAAATTTGTGTCCTGCGAATTGCGCCGGCGTCACGCCAACAACTTGACGACCTGGCAACGGTCGGACTTCACACACGCTCACCATCACAACAAGCCAAAGGAAGCAAAACATGCTCCATGAAGCACTTTCGACTAAAGTACGAACGGCTCCAAAGCGCAGGGAAAAAACTTCCATCACTTCGCATGTACAGCTAGAGCAGGTGTCCTGTCACTGGAAAAAAACAGAGCCCACATCTTGGCAGCACCACTGCATCAAAAGCACCAAGGATCATCAAATTATGTCCGACACACTCAATTCTTTAGGAAATCCATGGAGTTCCTGTCCTCCACCAAAGTCAATTCCACTGCACTGGGGGGGCACTGGGAGGCCACACAAGAAGCAGTGCTCCTTCTGGGTCTTCCCAGCTTTGGTGGCAGCCATCTCGAACGATGCAGCTTCACCTATGTAGCCTCTCCAATCTGTCTCCGCGGAAATCATGTAACAACACTGCCGTATCAAGGGCCTCCAAAACAAACGTCTAGAGTCTATAGACTTCGGCGTTGAGAAATCATCCGCCCTCTGCCCGCGAAGATCTTAGTTTGTCAAGACTCAAGACTTTGCTCAGCTCCTCTTGCATGTGTTCGTAGCGGATGATATGATCACAGGAACGGCGTCCAGTCCTCGACGACAAATAATACCTGACGGGAGGAGTCTCGTCTTCGTCACTCCAGCGACTCACCACGACCGGCCGAACAGGTGGTGGACTTCATCGGTGCCAGTCCCATGTGATTGGGAAAATGATGTCTCTCGGATCGGAAGCATGGTTACGTGGCATGGCCATGGCGGTTTCATGGCACCGACTTACCTTCCCTTCGTTCGATGGTTCGGATCCTGAAAGTCCAAGTCAGAAGACGGTGGTGAACTGTCTCGGTGCCATGAAGGATGTTCAGGGACAGATTCATTGATCAGCGTGAGAGTTCATCACAAATGGCCGGGAGAGACGGTGTTCAATCCATGTTCCCTGTATATAGTTCAACGTCATATGTATTTAAGTGTATATCTACAAGGGTTGTATCCATTGATTCAACTGCTGAACCTTCAAAAGGTTGAAGTCCTGCCCCCCAAATCAAACATTATTATGGAGTCATAAAGTAAAAATCCATGTCATTATGACAGGCTTATGGATGTTCAACATATTTGGACTTTGCTTTTGCTCTCAAAACCATGTTTTCCGGTCGCGGAATTGGTGGTCAGACCGCCCAAACAACCACAGCTCCGGTGGAAGGGTCTGACCCCACGAGTTCGAGCAATCTCTCGCTCGCTCGAACCGCGTTTCCGGCTGAGTAACCCGATGGACCCGAACGAACTGGGGGTACCCTACCTGGACCCTCCAAGGGGTGCCCAATGGAAGCCTATAGGTAGTGTGAGGTAGTTCATTGGACACCCTTGGAGGGTCCAGGTATAGTTGGGATAGTTGAGCAGGTTCGGGTTCCTCAAAACCTCTGTTGGTTGTTCACCGCGTGCCCTTCTCCGGTGTGGGCCAAAAGCCCGTCGCCGAGCGTCGCTTGCGGCACGTGGTGGCAATCGTCGATCCACGGATCTATCATCAAACGTTGCCTGACACGTCGGGGGAACGAGCTCGGACAGGCGCAAACGGAAGGGAACAGTAGGTTGAGCTGTTGGGCATCGTCGGTGAAGCTGTTGGGCATCGCCGGTGAAGCCTCTGAGTTGGACCGCGTGGACCGCGCGTGCTTTTACGTGACGGCTTAGGAGAGATATGGAGAGATCCAGGCAAGAATTCGGGTTGTCGCAAGCATTTGCAGGTGTTGCATAACCCTCAAATACTTTCTCAAAGGTGGACTACAGGCTAGATCCCAAACGTTTGGGCTGTGGCATCCTCAAAATCGAATTGCGGACTGAGCGGCAAAGTCGCATTGGCATACTCCTCGAATGTCCGTTGATTGCACAGGGGTCCTCCAAGCTGGCATTGAAGCTCAGTACATTGCTCGTCTCAGTGGTTGGCATGGAAGGCAAAGTCCCCATGAAACGCCAGGCCCAGTCGACTAATTTTAAATGCAATGACTGCTTCACTTCGGTGGCTTTCATGATCCCCAAATGGAATGAACCAAGCTTTTTTCGAGTTTCCCTAAGTTTCCCTAAGGAAACTGCAGCATTGCAGGTTCAAAACGTCGCTTCTTCCCATTGCTTCGCCTCACCTGCTTTCGGGTGCGGTGCTTCCGCGCGCGGTCCTGGCGTGTGACGCTGCTTGGAGATGTAGAAATACTCGCTGACGAAGCGACGCAGGGGATCCCGCACCACGCAGAAGGTGGAGCAGTTGGCATAATTTTGTGTCAGCTCTTCATCCATTCCTTGGCAGGAACGGCAGATCTCCTGACTGCTTTGAAAAAAGAACCGTCTGAGACACGTAAAATCCACAATTCCAATTCTATTCCCAACACACACCAGGTCACCAGCACGTTTCTGTACCCTAGTAGCACCAGCACAAAATATATACAAGCACTGGGAATTCACACAAATTACACAAAAATTGCATCATGGGGTTCATCCGAAAACCCTCGGGTTTCGCCCGTTAAGCCGTTGGTTCTTGGCACCGTCCTTGTTGAAAAGAGGCCTGCGGTCCGGGTGTCCAGTTTGTGTCTGAGTACCAGACTCCACAACACGTACTTGCGATGCAGCCAGCGATGAATTCAACGAGCTCTACTGGCTGCTTGTTGTGACTCGTGACTGGGACTTTTCGGATTCGGTGCGCTTGCGCGTGGATCTCAAGCCGCCACACGTACGGTGCCATGCAGACTTGGGGGGGAGTGCCCAGGACCCGTGCCGCACTTCATCCCGAACCCAGTTGCTCAAATAGAGCCCAAAAAGGCTTCAAAAACATCAGGTTTGCATCAAAGAAATTTTTAAGTGTCTTTGTTTCTCACTGACCCCTTTAAACAATGCATGGTTCTTAGTTGCTTAGGGTAAACATACTGGTAAACATGTAAAGAGCCACACAAAAATGTTAAAAGCTCCAATGCAGGATGCTGGGCGGATAGTGCCAAACGCTGCAAGCTGTGACATTGTTCGGCCAACAACACAGTCTGCGGACAGGAACTGTCTGTGAGCACTCGGATGCATTGAGACAATGCAACGAATGATCATGAAGGCCCCAAGCATACTTCAGATGGTACCCAAGATTTTCAATGGCAGAGCCAGCATTCTTCGGAATGTGAATGAATTTTAAGCAGCGTCTGGTGGCATTTGTGTGGTTCTTTGCAAAAAGCATCGTCTCCTTCGTTAGGTTCAAGAAATCATTGCGTTGCTCCATGTGTTGGCCGAAAGTACGGGCTTTCCCTCTCAAGGCGTGAAATAGACTGCCAGCTGTCAAGGCGGAGAACATGACAGCCAAAGTACCTGCATCGGTGCGGAGTCGACCGTGGAACGCGTGGAACGCGTGGAACGCGTGGAACGCGCCAACAACAACCTGAACACCGAATTCCACCCCAAGCTGATGGGTCTGAAGGTCGTGCAGAAAGAAACAATCTAACAAACTTCAAGTTGATCATCTCTGGTTTGGAACTGGATTCGTATACTTGGTGCCACCAAGCTCCTTCCATGCAAGTTCCACACATGTACACTCCAAGACTGAGGGATGACTTTGCACACCAGTTCCACATCTTCGTTGAAAACACCTACAGTGGGCTTCCCCCACGTAAACCGGTGCTTCGGTGCTTCGGGAAGTTACGGTACGGAGAGGGATCGATCGACAGAGACCCAGAGGAAGTCACTTCCCTGCCGCCAGTGACCGGAACGAACGGACCCGGAGAACCCTGTTTCGGGGTACCGGGACTCGGAGTCGAAGAGTCGGGTGGGTCTCTGACTGCAGCTCTGTTGGTGCGGAAACACATCCAGGTGAGTCTCCACGTGACTCACCTGACTCGGAAATGATGGTCTTTTGGTGAGAAGCGTTGGAACCACAGGATTTATTGTAATAGCCTGAATCCCGAACAACCACTTTTTGACCTAAGCCCAAACATGACTCGTGGGACTGCCAGATATGCCGCCCCATTGACCCCCAAAATCAATGTAGGCATATATGGCATACATGGAGTGTCTGGGAAGGATCTCACACTACAAAACCAGATCAACCATCTTAACAATGGCCCAGGAAACAATATGGAAAAATTAAAAAAGGCCGACTGTCCACATGAACGGCCAAATACCTGGTTCACTCTTGACATCCTGGCGCTAGCCTTGGGGGTTCAGTGTTGTGATCCACATGGGTTGGTTTTGCTGGGCTAGTGGGGGGTTGGTTTGGTCATCTAGTTTCTCGATGTTTCTCTTCCTTCCAAAGGTCATCAACGGGGGTTCTCCGGGCTCTCCGGGCTCTTCATGCCGGGAGGCATTCCACAAGCTTCGACTTCGACATTGGACCCGAGTTGACCAGCCGCACACCTATCAAGCGCCACGGAGGAAAACCTAACCAAAAACATCGATATGTGTTGGGCACCAAGTAGATCCACCCCAAACATATTTAAGGAGTTACTTTGGAGCCCTGTCGGGTAGGGTTTGGCACTGACTGATTATGCCACGCTGTCAGCTGTCTCCGAATCACCGAGCCGAAAAGGATCCGAAGGCCGTCGGTCGACTGGTCTGGTCGACTGGTTGGCGCCCAATTCGTCTGCCCAACTCGACTGGTGAGATTCCTTTGAGTCTGTGACTCTGGTGAGACGTCGGAAGTGGTCGGAAGTAGAGACATGTAGAGACCACTTACCCAAAACAATCCAGGTGACCGAGAGGTGAGCACATGCTTCCCTCCAGCGAAAAAACATCTAAAAGAACCATGTACCTTGTCATCGGTTGTCATCGAACATCCATTGGTTTTATACATCGCATCAATTTCCAAAGACGTATTGGAGAATATTAGGATAGGTCTATCGTTGGCCCAATCATGTATAGCTGTATAGCTGAGCCCATTGAGGAGAAATCCTCGGCCGACCCAGGTATCCCCCATCATTTGAGTGGGGGCATATATGTTTTGTCCATGACCAGCCATGACGCCTCGAGAATGGATTCAAGACTACTGCAGGTCCACCTTTCTTTGAACGGTCTTGGAAGGCTGATCGATGCTGTGATTCTGACCTTCTTCTCCCCATCCAGTCTCGCCTTCAACTCTTCCCCCGTCTCTCCTCCCTCGGATCTGGACTTTTGCACCCCGACGGAGGCTCCGACTCTGCCGGACTCGATGGCGCGACATATATCGCGACATGTCGCAACCGGAGGTGGAAGAACCCGGTACCCCAGGTCATTCGGCCTAGGGTCCTTGGTTCAGGTCACTGGAGACCTCTGTGGGTGGTACACCGTGTCCACGGTGGCGTCACCAGCTGCCACTGCCACGACATGGTCGAGTTCAGTCCAGTGCACGGGCGGGGCCGGCTGGGCTAGGCGCCCAGCCCCAACCTGAGCTTGAAAGACAGAACGGCAATATATGCCCAAACACGACCTGTCTGGGTCTGCCAGTCCGGACTGCCGAGTGGCACGGCCAGGGGTGGTTGGTTTCAGGGGTCAATGTAGGCATATGCCATACATGGAGTGTTTGGGATGATGAACAGAACAAAACATAACAAAACAACGTTGGACAACCAAAAAAAGGTTCCCAAACAGTCCATATGTTTTACATATGTGCCAAGCTCAAGCAACAAAAAAACATATGCCCAAACGGTTCAAACATTGTCCAAGTCCTGGCAACTCATAGTCCAGGTGAAAGAAATCCTCAGCAAAGTGCCGAGTGATGTTGAGTGACTCTCATCTAAAATCACTTGTGATTGCTCTGCAGGCGCTGATCTCCTCTATAATGGCATATGTTTGGCATGGCACATGTTTTTTCTGGCAAAACTGAAGGAAAACGGCCAGTCTTTTTGCCCGAGCAGGTTGGAGCTGGGGAGAACTCCAAAAGGTATCTCCAATTTCGCCGTCAGGCCACGGTCTGCCAAAATACTTAGAATGCCTCGACCCATGTGAGATCTGTTAAGTATATTATATATCAGTGCCTCAGTGCCCTCCGCAGAAAATAGAACTGGGAACTGAAAGGGCCCTCTTTGAGACATTGAGAGGCGAAGGACTGTGGTTCTCCGAATGGCTATGTTCTCCATCGACTGGGTAGGACCCGGAGATGACATTGACATATAATGACAAATATCATGAAGTATCTCATCTGAGACTATGGAACCATCCTCCAGCTGCGACTCCACCTTAGCCGCCTTAGCCCTTGAGTTGCCCTTGGAATGGCCTGGAAATGAAGTTGAGCCCTTTTCCAACAAATCCATCATTGAGTAAGGTGACCACCAATCCCTGGACGACCCTAGAAGTCGAACCACCATTGAAATAGCCGGGTCATCTCATGTTTACAAAAAAAACAAAAAACGATCCCAACTACTATCAAAAAACACCCTATACTATCAAAACCCTATCTCATGTTTGTTCACCAACATCTCCTATTTTGTTACTACCAGAACCCTGCAGATCCGCAAATGTCGGCCGCACCGGCCGAACGGGACCTCTTCCCGATCGCTCGGATTCGACGCCGAAACCGGATCCCAAAGGACCAAGTAGATGGGGACCCGAAAACCGGGGCCCCCGCTTTGGGGTGGTTCATGGACATATCCCTTAACCTCTTAAAGGGACTATGATTAGACACCCCCTATAGGGCCCGGCAGCCGGGAGAACACTCTGTACCCCCCACCTGTTCACCCCTCCAATCGCCCTCCTCGCGCGATGCTCCAGGCGTCCCGGATGCGCTGCTGCAGCGCGGCCGACATCCTGAGCGCCTCCACCGGACACGCCGCGCCTCCTCGGTTCGACACCTGGACCGGTCGGTGGAAGGACTTCAAGATCCTAAAAGAGCGCCGGGATGGTCCTAGTTCTTTCTAACCATATTTTGCTGCAAACATGTCATTTATAGGTTACTCTAAAAGCATCTAGCTCATCTATATCTACAGTACTATCATGTACTATCTACAGTATATACACCTAGACCTTCAAAGGGGCAAATGGAGATCCACAAGTCGCGTAGGGCATTCGGAGTGAGGGCATCGCTGAATCGGGCATCGGTGCATGGGATCATCTTGCCGTCTAAGACGAAGACTCAAAGGGGTCGTTTCAACCACCACGGTGCATGGGGTGGTGATTAGGAAGGGGGGTGTCCTTAAACCACACCACCATGGTTGATTGAGGGGTGGTGATTGGATGGTGTCCTTACACACGAACGGAAAAGGGGTGTCCTGAAAACAAAGAAAACACGAAACAACCACCCCCTTCAGTGGGACCGGAAGAGACAGAAGGACACCAGAGCTGTAGCTGTTCAACGCAACGCAGGAACTTAGAGGGTGTGGTCTACCATGCAACTTGTTTCAGGTCGGTCAACGGTCTTGTGGTGCCATGAAAACCCATCTTCAAGCGGCTGGAAGGCTGATCTTCGCGTCAAAGAGATTATAGGACTTCCTGCAAGCGATCTCGGTCAGCAACATGGGTACTCCTTATAATTACAGACCGTTATAGAGCCCGTACAAAAATGAAAACCCTTCAATGCCTTCATATAGGATTCCACAAATAATATTTGTATATACCACTATAATACTGAAAAGACCTGCCCAAACGGGCGTCATATTGGTATACTTTGTACACTTTATTGAGAAGGATCCCCGAATCCCAAGCTTACTCGGAGCCACAAGGATCCAGTAGGGCATTTCTATGAATCACATTGTCACACAGCAGTGTCTGATTTTTTGTTCCCAAAACATTGGATTGTCATAGCTGGGTGGGGTTTTGGACCGAACCAACATGTGCTTCGCGTTCCAAAGGCTCAAAACATGGAAAAAAAACCCTTCCGACCTCGAACCGCATTTGTTGCAACCGCCCAACCCAACCAAACTGTGTTGGGATCAGCCTTTCACCTAACTTCTCCAAGCATCAGGAGCAGGCTCAGTTCCGATCGGAGCTTTTCGTAGTGGAGGATGTGATCACACAAGCGCTGACCAGAATGGGAAGCCACGTAGTGCCTCGAGATGCAAAACCGAGAACGACCAGGATGGGTTGAGACCCCAAGAATGTCGGAGATTTACACCGGTCTCTTAGATACGTTGGGTCAACAGAAGGTCGTTGGCCTATTTGAGAAGGACAGACCAAAGAACAGTACTTTTAAAAATGTTATTAAATATATTTGATTTGTTGCAATCCCTGCTTCCCCTCTCTCAAACGCCTTCAGGTGATCCTGCCAATACCATGCTCATTTGGATGATAGCCGCAACACCTGCTTTCTGTTCTTCCATGTTCTTCCTTCAAGACGCCAATGCGCTCCTGTAAAATCGCGCCGTCGCCACCCTTACCATTTGGCCTCTCCTTCCTTCCCCATCTTGGATTGACTTCCAGGAAGCCGGAGAAAAACAAACACATGCCCATGAAGAGGTATGTTGCTATACCCAAACGCTCCATGGGACTGCCAGATATGCCGATCAGTTGGGGTGGTGCCACGGGGGTCAATGCAGGCATATATTCCATACATGGAGTGTCTGGGATATTTTACCCACACGTAGTTGGGGATATGAACGTAAAAACATCACCTAATCCGCACACCCTGGCGCCATGCTCCAACGGGAACTGGCGGCTCGGCTCCGACACCGCCATGCCAAGCGGCACTTGCGGCACCAAGTGGCAATCTTCGATCCAAGGATCTTCCAAAAGCCGTTGCCTGAACAAGCCGGACGAACCACCTGTGAGCGAACCTCGCGAGGAGACGAGGGAGACTGATCGAGCCGCTATAGCGACTATAGCGGCATATAGCGGCTACAGTAGCGTCTGCCGCACCACCCAAAGGAAGTTAAACGGAATAAATAAGTGAACGGAGATCTATACAAAGCACCCTTTAAAGCTCAATCGGATCGAGCTCTTCAGCATTGTGGTGTCTTTGGAAGAAGTTCGCTGGAATTAAAGGCCCGCCCTTCAAACTATACAGACCCTTTCAGCAGTTGGGAGCTTCCGCACAGCAATCCACGCACTCTTCTCCGAGTCTGCCTGCGGCCCACCTGTCATGACTTCGCCGGTCTTGGTTAAGTGACCCTAAATAGGACCCTTAGTGGGGTACCGAACTGGGATAGTCTAGTTTGGGTTCTTCAACCTCTGTTTGATTCCACCGCTTTGAAGTCCAGCAGCAGCGTCCGATTGGCATATGCTTCGAACTTCTCCCGATCACACAGCGGTCCTGCCGACGACTTCGGAGCACCGAGATCGGGGTGCCCGGGCATGCCTTGGATCCTCCATGAAGCCTCCAACGGAGAGGACAGGGCCCCTACATCTCCATAGGTTGGAGAGGATCAGGTTTTTGGATCCGCAGGGCCTGTTTTGGCATGCTTGGCTCTTATATAAGGCAGTACCCTTACTGCAGGCCGTTTGTTGACACATGTCGACACGTTTTTCGGGTTGGGCCCTCACAGGACCAGTCCTTGTGAACGTCCGAAAAGCGTCCTTGTATAATGCAGTCTTCACTCTTCAAATCTAGTCTCTTCATCCCTGTCAGCTCACCGTTGACCGGCATACCACGAAAAACACAAGCCTTAAGCTCCTCCATGGTTCACCTCTAACCGTAACCCTAAACCCACGCTGTGTCTCGGTCTTTCCGATCTTTCCGCTGGTTCTCCCGTCACTGCCGCAGATTATCCATGGTTCTCCCTCTCCATGCCTGGCTCGTGGTGAGCCTTGGTGATCCAGAAGTACTGGCTGACGAAGCGTCGCAGGGGATCTCGCACGACACCTCGGCACCGCAGGAGCAATCGACCCGTCTCTTCGAGAACGGGCCGTTCGAACGGGAGAACGGGCGTTCCGGTTCGAAGATGGGACTGGGGTGGGTGTGTATTTTTTTTGGGGTTCTAACATGATCGAACACCACCTAAGCGGAGGATATGGAACGAGCTCAGGGAAAGTATCGAGATTGCAGTCATGGTGGACCCTTTTCCTATGTGGTGGGGAATGGTTATTGCTATGACCTCCTTTGTGTCATTTTTTTGGATAGGGTTCCCCAAGCTTGGACGCCTGCGGGCTGGCCGCCCCCGTCCGTTTTGTCTTGCTTGGTGTGGGTGAGTTTGGTGCTCTGATGTCGAGTCCGCTTTCTTCGCGCTGGGCGCCACCGAGTACCTCGGCCCAGGTGCCAAAGGTGGAGCATTGGGCGTAGACGGCCGCGAGGTGCGCGTCCGCACTGGGTGGGTAGTGCCACAGACCTGTCAGCTTTTCGCTGGTTTTCGAGGCCGTGGCACGCCGTTTTGGGCCAGGTCAAAGGACCAGTGTCAGAGCATCCATCCAACAGGAGTCACATGGAGCGGGGTGTGGTGTGACTCATCCCATCCAGTGAGTGGATGATGGACACCCCTAAATCCCGTAAACTCCATGAAGCACCCCCTTTCGCGACTGCTGGGATAGTATTCCCTGGGGCTCCAACCACCTCCTGAGAAGATGGTTGAGGCGAGTTTGGGGGGGTCTAACACCTTCTGAGGATATGGTTGGAGCCCTAGGGATTGTATAATAATGTATAATATAGCCCTAAGAATCCGGGCCCGAACCAATGCAAAGGGATTTGAGAGTCCAAACCGGGGCCGACCATGGAGGGCCCAAGGATGCTTGGGGAGTTACATGTGACATATTGAACACCAGGACCCTCCAAGGGGTGCCCAATGGAAGCCTATAGGTATAGTGTGAGGTAGTCCATTGGACACCCCTTGGAGGGTCCATGCAGGCATACGATTCATTACTATTCCATGTGTACATGGATGGTCTGGGACGGCTTTATAGTAGATTGGCATCCGTGGGTGCAGTTAATTAGAGTTCATCTGTGGGTATACGATCATGGTCTGTGTTGATGGGCTTCAAACATTGTCCATGGCTGCTGTTACTTCCTTCCAAATGATTCATCCACTGGACGGCCATAAAATTTGTGCATTTCAGCTTGGAAAAGAGTAAACACTTGGCGGTGACGTACACCCTTCCAAAACCCAATTTTGGGGCTCGTAGCCCTCAACTTGAGAAGGTCGGGACAACCTTCCCAAACACATCCAGCCCGCCCACCTTGCCAACTGCCGGTTAAACAAGGCCGAGGAGCTGCAAGCGGTCGTCTTTCTGGGCCAGCAACAGTCTCCTGAGGAGGCGATCCTAGCAAACCTAGCAGACTTGGCATTCACCTGACCTCCATCTATCAAGTGAAGGGGGACACGCTGAACACGTGCGAATGACAAACTTCCTTCTTGACACTTGCTTGAGGGATCTTGAAGGATTCCATCCACGATGAGACCATGATAGTGACCGTCAGCCATGCTACTAGCTTACCAGTCCCCATCGATCTACAAGATCAACACCATCTTCAGGTGCCTTACAGAAGGAGATTATCCAGAACTCATATATCGCTTGCGTAAGCAAGGCGGCAAGAGAACTTTGAAGCTCAGCCGCTGTAAATCGGTAGGGTTTGATGACATCTTGAAGCGTTGCGACAGCGCAAGGAGTCGTCAAATTCGCCCCAGTGAAGGTTCAGCTTCTTCCCCAGGTGTTCCTGGGGCGAGCACCCCGGAAAGGGGCATTCCAAGAGATTGGACCGTGTCTTGGATTGCAAAGTCTTCATCAAAGGTTTGAATAGCTGGGGTGGAAACAGCTTGATTATGCTTAAAACCTTGACCAACACAATGCAAAGCAATGCAAGGAAAAAGACAAACGACACCATGCGGTGCCCGCTTGTTGTCTAAAAATTGCATAGTTTGGTCTCAAGATGTCTCAAGAGAGTGTTTTCATGAAATGAACATCCACTACCAAGACCTTAGGAACATCCAAACCAGGTGGTGGACACCGGACAAACCGGAAACACCTGCGCGAGATCGTCTAGCGACCCCACCGATACTGAGCCCGATTCTGACCACCCATAGCGACTCGATTGATCTGCTCGACAGATGAGGCGATCGATGCGCTCCACAGGAGGCCGAGCAAATTGCTCGACGGCGTGACAAGTGATGCCGCCGCAGGGACAAAGTCTATACCAGGACCACCCAAGTCGGGTGGCTTGTAGACCCCCCGGCCCCACGTGTTTACTCATAACCATCCCAACTGAGTGCTGGCATACAGTGCAGTAGTAAAGGTGTATGCCAACAAATAGGATCGATGATTGATCGACCGCTATGCCGAAAGCGAACGAATCTGCCTCTCACATCCTCTCACCATGTGATCATCTCTCAGACTCTTTAGCCATCGGATGTATCCATCCCGGACACTCCATGGGACTGCCATATATGCCGATCAGGCCAGGGATGGTTGACTGGGGGTCACTGGGGCGGCAGTCCTATGGCAGTCCCATCGGTCGTGTTTCGAACGAGAAGGAGTTCCGACATGGCTCAATGGATGTGCCAGCGTTCTTGGGGATGTGGATGAATTTCAGGCAAGGCTTGGAGAGTCCGTGACTGGGCAGGTTCAATCTCGGTGAGCTGGCATTCATGTGGCCCTTGCGGATCCTCAGAAAGGCAGGTGATGGCAGGTGGTCACAGAACATGAAACTTGAAGTTGCTTCAACTTCTCAAGCAAGTCAAAATAATTTTCAGATTGGACCGTCAACATATGCAAGAGTTCCAACAGGGCAAGGAGACCACCCAACTAATTTCTACCAGCACCACCCAGCGAAACCGGTGGTTTATAGAACCCCCAAATACCATGTGCTTGGCCAATGTTCATCCGAACTGTCTCGTTTTTTTGGGCTGCGGGAAGTGCAAGGGTAGGAAAAATAGGTTGCTTTCTGAGCCAAGCATCTCCTTCTGCAGGGCACTTTGGCCCACAGAATTGGCTTTTGACCAAACAGTTTGCAGGAGAAGTTGTGCTAACCACCTGCCTTCTGATGAGATGATGACCAGCAAGACCAATGTACCTCAGTAACAACCACCCAACACCTCTTTGGACGTTTGTTTTGACAGGAAAAGGCCCTATATGAAAACAGAAAGGGTCACTCAGGTGTCCTGTCTAGGCTTACAGGGAGACTCCCTACTGCTTTTGGTCTATTCCCCTTCCAGGGAGACGAACTGGGAAGTCCTCTTTTATTACGGTGGTTTCAGAGCAAATGGCACTGGCACCCCAAGATGTCTTTTGGATGGGGATCCATATAAACCACCGACCTCGGTGATTGTGCCATCTACTCTCAATCCACTGTAATATACACCCCATTGGCGTCCCCATCGACCCCCACACCGAAGTGCTTTTCTGCCACCCGCGACGTGCTCCAAGCGACGGTCCAAAACGAAGAACCAGTGAGAAACACGTCCCCCGAATCCTCCGGATGGCACCAGAAACAAGGACAGCTGCTTCATGGTCGGTGGAACTCTAGCTTTTTGGAACGTCTTGGCCAAACATATCCAAACCTGGTTTATGCTTGCAAATCACTTAGAGAAATATGAGTCAAAGGGATCAATCATGTCAAGTAGAGGTTGAACATACATATGTCTGAAACCACCACCCAAACAATGGGTGGTTGGAGAGTCAAGGCATATCATGGCATTTATATAGAACATCTCTTCCAGTCCCACGGATGGTCCGGGGATCTGAGATCTGCTTCGTGAGCTCGAACCAGGCCCACCCGGAAACCGGTGTCGGTGCACTTCAGCGTCCCGGTTCGGCGTCCGGGCCTCGGTTCGTTCCAGGCTCCGGTCGCACCTGGCCCAGCCCGGCCACCTGGGACGACGGAGCCCCACGGAGAGGTCCTTCCGCCCAGATGCCGACGCCAATCTTCCCCAACACGGTCATTCAGCCATTCTCCACGCAGCGAAGCTCGCACCCGCCCGCCAACGAGGTCGCAGGGCCGCCAACGAGGTCGGTGCCGGGTGTGGTGAGAACGGGGCGGATCTGGGATCGCCGGCCTGAACAGTGAGGTGTTGTTGGGGGTGCCATGCCCCGCGAGCAGGGAGAGTTCCCCATGATCTTTCTGATTGTGGGTAGAAAACAAATGAACAAATACAGGACCTGTTTTTACCTTCTTGAGCTTGTTTTGAAAGGGTAGAGTGGGGGAGGGAAAAAACAATACCTTCCCAGTATAGATCATGGATGTGGAAAAAAACACACATCTGTTTGTATTCGAACAATGCCAATTTAGCACCCTGTTCCACTTCCATGATTGTGTCAGGGAGTGTATCGGCCTTTCAACTATCCCAGTGGATCCCAGGCAGTTCCCACTATCTAAGGAACCAGGGGCCCTCGTTAGGCCTATGGTTGGGTCGTCGAAGACTTTCGTCTTTTCAGGGGGGCCTTTGGTTGATTCAGGTCGTCACCCTGCGCCGCGGACATGACATGACTGAGCGTATATTGATGCGACCGTGGCTGCGTCTTGCCGCGGTCGCTGAAGAAGTGGTGAACTGCTAAGTGTTGACTTTAGTAGAGACTCTACAGTATATCATCTATATTACAGTACGGGCTGATGTGCGTTTAGATCCTTGAGCCGGACATTGATCCAATAAGCGCTCCGGGTAGCATAGAACAAGGACAAATTCGCTCGGAATATCCTAAGTTGCAGGTCTGGCAACCTCACATTCGTACCCACTGCCCACTTGTCGATGGGCCTGCCTGGCGGCCAAAAAATACCCGCAAGCGGTCCAGTTTCCCCCTCTATTCCGTCTGGGACCCGATACGTGTGGTGAAGGCGGTGAAGGCAGAAAGCAGAAAGCACTGTTACAATGCCAAACTTTGTGGAGTCCACTGAACTCCTTCCTCCACCAAGCCGCACTATGGCATAGTCGCTATGCCATGATGGAGGTCCAAACCAAACAGTAACCGTGTCCAAAACATGTGCAATTTGACCAGCCACATCGACCACTCGGAAATCAGCACAACGATAGATGTCTGACTGCTGAGCTATGTTCAAATGTAAAAGTTCACCTGACTCCTGAGCTGTCGGGCTTGGGAAACTCTCGTGGTCCCAGTATGTCCCAGTTTTCAAGGCTCCCTAGTTCAATTGGGACAAATACCTTGGAGACTGGAAACGGCTCCAGTCTCATTTGGCCCTTCTCTCCCCTCCCTCCCGAGTTCTTCGTCTTCTTTTTCTTCGCCCTCGCTGGGGACACCGATCGCCGCGCCGCTTCGTGTCCACCGTCGTTGTCCCAGGATCCGATCGGTAGTGATGCCGAGGCCGATCTGCCGAGCCTGTTGACACCCTCCAATACATCCAATGCGGGAACTCTAGGGCTCCAGTCGGACCTTCGTTTCGAAGGTGGGACTGGGGTGGGTGCCATGTTCGGGTCCAGTCATACCTTCTAAGGAGGTACGACTGGAGCCCCAGGGGTACCTATCCCAAACGCTCCATGTATGCCTGCCGATCAGTTGGGGCAGTGCCAGGCGGGTCAATGGAGGCATATTATTCCAGTCCCATGGAGTGTCTGGGTACGAGGAAATGGGACGAATTTACTCCTTGTCCAAAGGTTCTTTGAGCCTCCCAGGTGACTTCTTTTCAAGTTGGGTCACAACTCCGAACATGAATCCCTCACCATCACAGGCACTTCAGGAGGCGCGGCTGATCGCATTCGGTCGGATCAGGGTCTCCAAACGACTCACGACCGTGTTCCGTGAAGACGTTGAGGTCCAAACGAGTCTTGCGAGGTAAGCAGTGTGCGACTGGTATAGTCTAGTAATGTCTAGTACATCACTGACAGGTCACGACCTGCCGCCTTTTTTCAGTCTCCCAAGAACTCTTTGAGGCATCGTGGGCATCGTCGAGTGCTGGGTGAACACCAATTGCAGTGGCTCTGGGCTTCGTGGCGAGTCGCGGAAGTCGTCGCCGAAGGATTCAGAGATGGATTGAGATGGATGGATGCCCCGCCCTTCGTCCACCCCCGAAACGCACAAAAACTGCAAGCATCGTCTGCTTCGGGCAATTGCTTGTTAAGGACGGGTGCTTCCACAGGATCATGGATCATCTGTTCAGGCCATGTGAGTATAGTTTGATCGGCACCCTCAACCCTCAAGCCTCACGGCCGTGGCGTGAGGGTGGTCGTCTTCAGCTGCTTTTCACAGCATAACGTCATGGGTGTGGCACCCAGAGCCGGTCCAAACAGGTGTGGAAGACGTGCCATTCACTTCCAAGTGAGGTGTTCGTCCTTCCTGCCAACTCAAGCAAGCATCCACCCCCCCCCCACTATATATACCTCCCATGTGTAAAAGAAACATATTGTCTTCCATCCAATGACGACCTCGTCACACTACCAACGCTGGGCGAGACTGGGTCTCGCGTCGTCCTGCTTCGTCCTGCTTCACGTCCCGAGACGCCGGGGTCGGAGGTCTGGTGGGGTCCGGATAGGGTCATAGCACCAAGGTCGTCATGAGAAAAAGGGCCAAGATGGGCTCCAAGACATGGGTGCAGGAGACGTTCCAGGTGGATGCTCTTCCAGATGGACAGCGCCAGGGAACTCTTTAGAGAGAGGTGGGGCTTTTAGAGAAGAGAAGGTGGTCCAAAGTGACCCAGTGAAACCATGTGAAACCTGGGATTTGGTGGGGGGGGGGAGCTGGTCACCCTCCGCCCCCCAAACCATCTTTTTGGGGGGGCCAAACTGGAGGAACTATGCACTGGAAGACATGGAACCTGAAAACCAGTGGGTTGTAGAGGAAAATCGTCTTCCAAAGGTCTATTAGTCTTCCCTGGTGTATCGATATCTTTCGGCAAATCCCCTCTCCACACCTGGGGACCGTTCTGCGTTCTTCACGCGGTGTCAAACACGCGACTGACTTCTCAGCGCGCCGGGCCGCACCGCACGGCGCCGGAGATCGTGGGTGTCGAAGAGTCTCGGCTCTGAGTGGCAAAGTGATTCTGGGGTTCCAAGTTGCAAGCCTCCAACAGAGGTGATCACGTGACCGGACCCGGTCTGTACGTACCCGGTCCTCCCTGGGTTGAGGCAAGCCTGTCCCCCCCGTATAGCGTCTCACGCTGGTAAGAACTGGTGGTTTTGGTCCGAAGAAGTGACCCCTCGGTCCGAAGAAGTGGTTCCGATATTCGACTTACACGTCCCGAACCAACAGAGGTTGAAGAACCCTATAGACTATCCCAGTTCGGTACCCCAGGTTACGGCCCTAGTTACGGTCACTTAACCTCTCTTGGAACCTGAGAAGGTGGATCCGTGGATCGCACAAAGACTTCACCGGTTGGCACGGTCCGTGGTGGCTGAAGCTGAGGCAGGAATCTGCTGCGATGCAGGCGGGAAGTGAGGAACAAAGCTGATGCAGGATAACATCTCCCCGGATGAGTTGCGAGCTGAGCATGGGTGTGTCAAGCAATCTCCGCCGAGGCCTTTCGACGACGCCTAACTTGCGGAGAATCATTCGTCACGGGCCGCGCAGTGCACGACTATGCGCGACTAATCAAGGTCTTCAAGGGGAAGTCAGTTCCGGGTAAGCTGAGGATGGTGGCTTGATGTGTTCAAATCTTGTTGGGTCTTGATGTGCCTTCCGGTGGCACCTCGGTCATGTGAGTCATGTATTTTCTTGTTTTGTTTGGGTTATTTAAAGGTCCCAAATCAAAAAACATGTCATGTGATTGCCTCCGGATCCTGACATCGTTGAAGCAGGAGCAAATGAGGGCTAGCGAATGAGTCATCCAGGTCTCATCTGAATCTGAGGTGTTCTTTTTCAATGCCCGTAGGGTGATTTCATGTCTCCTGGCAACTGATGACCTCTTTCCATCACCATATCTCGAGCAGCTTGGTGAACTGGACCCAATCAATCCTGCTATACAACAGCTTTTGACAACCTGACAACCTTGATTAATCTTTATGGTAGATGATGATTGATGATAAGGGCGACTTCCATGCCTATGCACATTCACCTGCTCATTGAACAAGAAACACCAACCAATAGAATCAATGTGTATAGTATATTGTAGAAGGAACAACACAAGTTGTGAAACATCTGGAATCTAACCCTGAGGATCCAGTAACCTCTAATATATTGGGTCTAACTACCAATGGTTTGGTTACAAAGACTAAAACCGTATAGACTTGAAATCTAGAAGCCGACCTCGGTTCCTTCGTTTGAAGTGCTGAGATCCTTGTTGCATAGTGATTGAGCATCAAAGCGTTGCTTGTTCCCACGAAATGTTGCCGCAGTTGGAAACGTCTTTGTGCGGAGAAGGGTGTTTGTACGAAATAATCCATTAAGGTTCCCAATTTCTACATTTGATCGGTCTGGACCTGGAGGTTCCCAGCACCTCAACCTCCGCCATCCTCTCTTCCCCGCTTCAGAATCATGCGATTTCAGCTGTCAGGTCCACTAAGACCCTTCCCAGCTCGGGCCCGAAAGCACGCGTCACAGAAGCGGCACACTTGGCCCCAACCACCCCTGGTGAGCCACAAGGTCGTCGCCACGACCTGAAGATGAAGGTGCAAACCTACCTGGATGAAGCTCGGTATACTACCCGGTGCACCTCTCCCCACTCCCCAAAGGATTCTCGGCAATTCCCACGATGTTGGGACCAAACCAAACAAACGACCGAGACCCGAGGGGTCAAAAGGGTCCGGGAATGGTGCGGAACCCAGGAACTGAACACATTAAAAGCATTTAAAAGCTATAAACAGATAGCCCCTACCTGGCCCCTAGGCCCATCTTGATGAATCCTGACTCAGTGGGACATGGATTCAATTTCGAACGCGGGGGGCTATATAAAATCCACTTCCATTTGGAACTGCTGGCGCTATGTTTTGGGGCGAATGATCCTTCTCGACTCTCCCAGCGGTCTTGGACCTTTCCACTATACCCAAACACTCCATGTATGGCATATTTACCTACATTGACCTCTGAAACCACCCCAATGTAGGCATATATGGCATACATGGAGTGTCTGGGATATATGAAAAAACACCCATGCGAGGAACTTGCCCTTGGTTTTTCTCTGTCTATGACCCGACCGTCGGCCGCAGAAAGAAAGAAATACCATGAAATACAAAAAAAATACCGGTTTGCCGTGTTCGGCGTGGCAAGGGTCAGTGGTTCTGCAGAAACCCTGTGTTTTGTTGAGTGGTGTGATCTTCTCTACCACCCCAAATGCTGTTTGTGTTCATCACTGATCTATGATTTAGACTTACCCAGGCAACAGCGAGACACTGTTTTGGGAGATCCTGTTGACAGGGAAGTATCAACAGTTCCTTGAATTGTTTGTCCAGAAAAATATCGTATTTGTCGAAGATTCAAGGAAAAGAACACCTCTCCGAAATCAGCTCCCTAAGGCCTGAGGCCGAACATTATACATGAATCACATGACCCTATGGTCGAAGCACTGGCTATTTTGGGACTCGCCACTGTCCCTGATGTAAGAGATCATCTTGGATTTGCTTAAGTAACCTGGAAAAATCCAGAAGGGAATCTATCATGATTTAACCATAATATAGGATAATATAGGGAAAATCATGGAACATCTAAACTCAAGCAAAACCAGGTCATTCCTCCATCTCCACTGCCCATCTCCGACATCTCCCGGGGGTCTATTTACTACTCCAACTCCGAGAAGCCCAGAACCACAGGAGGGCGCTGCCAGGACCAAAGTCCGAGGCAATCACCCCGAGTTGCAAGCCACTCGCACACACCTCGCTTGGAGGTTCTCCAACGTTTTGGAGCACTGGGCTGTGAACTGTCCCAGTGGATCCCAGGCAAACCACTCTTTTTCAGGAACCAGGGATTCTAGAGGTCTATATGGTTTGGTCGAACTGGAACCACTGGGACTCCCAGCGACATCGTGGGAACTGCCTGGCACACTGGATGCCCTGGGTGTTTTCAACCATCGAAACCGGTTCCAGGTCAAATCGTGGCCAGAGATTGAACGTAGCGCCGAGAGATTCTCACGAGACGAGCAGATCCATGGTCCGATCTGTAGGTTCCACCATGCCCATCCTCGAGGGCTAGCGGCCGTTTGGGTTCCACATGGTCTGGGTGTAGCGGCTCCGGTCGCGCAAGCGCGCGATCCATGGGCGGATCCCCGGGATCTCAGCTGAGACGGAACCTCGGTCCTTTGACCTCATTTTACTGGAGATGGTCATACCCTAGGCTTCCTGGCCAACCATTGTTTTAATGGCCTGACTCCCGAACCACCATTGTGTTACGGATTTTACACTACGCATCACTACGCAACCAGGTCAACCGAACTCTTTGAATGGTCGAACGGAAGCCTAGGGCATACACACGGACTTGTATGGTTGTTGTCCCGGATGGTCGGAGCGGGTACTCATCCATGTCAAGTGTACTGCACCGATTTAGGGCCTTTAGGGAACCAGTGTACTCACTACTTGTGACTAAACCGTTCATGCTGAACCAAGCCACAATCGCGGGCAAATCATGACCCTGGCCCTGAAAATTGCATAACATGGCTCAATTTCTCAACCCGTGATATGGATGAAAGCACCACAAAAAAACTCACGTGGACCCGGTTCGAAGGGCACCCTGAAAGACTGGTTTCCTTTACCAACCAGTGGTTTTCAGGGTCCATGTGAGTCTTCAGCGGGGTATATACAGATTCATCCATCATACATCGGTCATTGACTTCAGCTGTGGTTGCCCAACGGTCAGGCTGCACCCCCCGAGCTTGGGCCTTTGGAGGTCTTAAAAGACATGTCCATCCAGAAAAGAAGGAAGCGAGGGAGGAAGCCACCGCCACCACCTATCCAAGTGGACGTGACAAGAAACATCCAGAAAACCACCCAAACAACCACCCGAACAATACGTCCTACAGCAATCAAATTTTAGCAATTTCTTGTTGGAGCTTTAATGTGAGCTCTTCCGTCCCCAGCGACCGGTTACGAGGGGAGTGAGTCCGATCTCATGTTCAGCGCCCGGGCGACCACGGCGAAGAAGAGGAAGATCAGAATCTCAGAGCGTCCAACAGAGGTGGGTCAGAACAGAGGTTGAAGAACCCTATAGACTATCCTATAGGTACCCCTGTAGGGTCCTATAATATACTATAAGGGCACTTAACCTCTGTGGGTCAGAACCGGACTGTTCGGAACTGGTTGGTACCCAGATGTTTCGGGTCCAGGTCACTTGACCTCCAGAGTGTCGGTCGTCTGGCGCGCGGGTCGTGGGGGATGCACCCGCTGCACCACTAACTGGAGGGTTTAAGGGGTCTAGGGAGACGCCCCTTTCCTGAACCGCCGGTGGCCGGTTGAAGGTCGGAAACGAGGAGTTCTGGAAGGATGCAGTCATTCATGGGGATTCATCTGTTGGAGGTTCGAGGCCAGGTCGCAGCCTCCCAAAGACAAAGCAAAGACCGTTTGGGGTGCTCCGGCACAGAAAACCTCCGCGAGGACCAACGAAAATAACTCACCTAACTTGCAGGTTTGAAGATCCGGTTTATGAGGTGTGTTCTTTCTTTACTCACTATATATTTACGACGTGAAATCTGAATCTAACGGTCACAAACCAAGTAAGTCACATGCGAGCAACACCGTGCCGCCCGTGAGACGGATGGACCATGATGGATCGTGCCGCCCGTGCCTCGTCTGCCAAGGCACAGTCTGGAGCCAATCCAGGCAAGGCCACGGCTTGGCGAAGCGGTCGCACAAGAAGAAGGCCAACCTTTCGGTCGTTGCACAAGGTCGGTGGACGAAGAAAGGTCTTCTCAGGTTCGGTACGACTGGACCCTCCTGGCACCTACCAGTACATCACAGTGTCTCCAATATTCTCCAATCATTGGATCCCTATAGGGATTTGGGTCACTACTGTGGTTTCAAATGTTCGATGCAAGCAGGGCCCCGGTTCGTGCTTTAGTAGTGGACCATCTGAAGGACATCTTGAGGTCTGCGCCATGCACTTCTTGAAATCACTGTAAAATGTGTCCAATTCGCACTGCCAAAAATACACAGTAGTACTGCAGCCATGGTGGGTGAGCCTCTCTTCTATATATACATATGTATAGTCGTATAGTCTTATAATATAGCTTTGCTGTCATCGTTGATGTGTTTTCTGGGCACCGACCGGACCAGAAACTTCGCAAACAAAAATTAAGAACTGCGAGGGTTTCTGACCACAAGTGAATCATCAAGGGCTTCCTCCTCCGCGAACCACGCGGCTGAATCATCAGAGCGAACCAGCACACGTAGAGCCCCAAGACCTGGGCGGAGCGGCTGAGGTCGGCCCACACAGCGAATCACCAGTGGTCGTGGTCAGTGAGTTCAATCATCCCAAGCAAATCCCAGACACTCCAAGGGACTGGAATATACCCCCTAGGCTTCCAACAACCATTGTTTTAATGGCCTTTACCGAACCACCATTGTTTTACTAAGGATTTTACACTACGCAACCAGGTCAACCTTTCTTTGAATGGTCTTGGAAGCCTAGGGTACCTGTCACCCCGATGTAGGCATATTGTATGGCAGTCCCATGGAGCGTTTGGGAAATGGTGAAAACACATGTGGAACACACATGTGGAACATACACAGAATATATACAGAGCATCCGAAACCATGCTCAAACATCCTGAGGCCAAGTAGTGAGGCAGTGTCACAGACTCTTTGGGGGTGAGCCTCTCTGCTTGCGCTGCTCGCCAGCTGCTACATGTGACAAACGCATGACGGACACCTGACACTCGAATGGCCATGTTCGGAAGCTCTCTCTGTCTCTCTCTCACTCTGAACTCTCTCTGTCTCTCTCTTTCTGTCTTTCTCTCCCTCTCTCACTCTCTCCGCCTTTACCGTCCTCCATCATGTACCGAGACTCCACCGCAAAGAAGAACGCCACGGCGATCCAGAGGGGTGCCTGGCCCGAGCCCTGCGTCTCTTACGACGTTCGTTGAAGATCACCGGTCCGGGGGGCACGGAAGAGGGGGCGACTTGGGGCGACGTTCTTGGGGCTGTGGTCGTCTATGGTTCTCTCGTGTTCTCTCCAAAGAATGCCTCATCTGGAAACAATCAGATTCCACTATACCTAGAACATCCTGGACCTGACTTCAATGTACCCTGGACCATGGTGTCCCATGACCCTGGCTGGCGCAAAAAGGCACCGTGCTTCGACGACGACCGGAGTCTTCGTCCGCTCTGTTGGTCCGCCATGGACGGGCGAGTCCCATGCTGGATCCCTCACCATCCATGGGTTGACGGTAAAGGCGGAGAGAGAGAGAGAGAGGGAGGGAGGGAGGGAGGGAGAGGGAGAGGGAGAGGTCTTGCCCCATCAGTTGGGATGCTGATCAAGATCTATCAGGCGAAAATTGTAGCTCCGAGCTCTTGGACTCTTCAAAAAGGATCTAAAATGTGGGTTTCTCCAGTTCCCCCCCCCCCGCCGCTGCGAAAACGGCCGATTCGCCCTCCAAATCAGAGGCCGCTGCTGTTGACGCGTGACTCGTCAGAACGCGGCGTTCGGGACCGGGAGAGCTGAAGTTCGAAGCGCAGAGCTTCTTCGTTCACCCTACCCCGAACGAACGAAGCCAGGGGGGGGTGAACGAAGAAGCTCGCCGCTAGCCACGGAGCAAGAGCGACTATGGAGTCGCTGAGGCTAGCTTTCGCCATCCAACGGTGTGGAGATCCCGGCGGCAGCCAGGTGACCCTGAGGTCGGAATGATCCAAACCTGTGGCATTTGTTTATTTTTTTCGGCATCTGATGCCATCTGGATCTATCTGGCAATCCTCACCTGGCAGGAAGAGGAAGGTGTTTATAGGAGTTTGTTGGGGTCAGATTGGACCTGCATGATGGTTTCCATGGTTCAACCTCTGGTTTCCTTCTCCACTTCCGTGTGAGTGAGTTTTTGTGAAAAGATCCCAAGCCTACCAAAAGAGTTCGACTATCAAAACCCGATAGTTCGACTATCCCAGGAACCGGTGCCCCAGGTGATTCGGGTCCTTTTTGTTCAGGTCACTGGATAGCTCTCATGGATCCGCGCCAAAGCCGCCCGGATCGGGCGGGCCTGAGCCTTGGCCAGACCTACCATCGAGTTGAGCGCCACACCCAGCCTGAGCATCGAACATCCGGCACACACGTCGGACTCGTCCAAACTCTTAACTTAGCAGATCTTAACTGCTTACTTACTATGGCAACACGACAGGGAGTTTTTCGCCAAAAAGGTTGAAACGCCATGAGTCTATGCAATAAATTATGGAATGGTCAATGTGCCCTACCAGGCCCCTATCAGGCCTGGCCCTTCTACCTAGCTATAGTCTGCAACCTTGATAAGCCTTGTCAGCGCAACCGTTCTTCCATCAAATAGATATCTTGTCATTGTGATATGATATCTTTGAGGTCTTCTATGTGGTCTTCAAGACCACCCTTCCAAGATGATAAGCATACCGTAGCATATCATGTCACATGTCCAAGATTGTCCAGGTGAACATCCTGGCCAACCCTGGCCTGAAATCTCAAGATGTGAAGAAGGAACCCCCAATGTTATTTCAATATGTGTGTCCATGTGTGTGCTGTGAGGCCCATGATGCCATCCCATGGCATCACATGACCAGTTTGACTCAAGCCCCAACCTTTTTTCTCCAATTGCCCCCCCCAGCTGAGCAGCATGGGCGTGATGATGATGCAACAATACTGGCAGGGCACTAGCTGCCGCACGTGCCGCACGTTCGCAGAGATCAGCCTCGGCCGAGGGATCGACTTTCAAGTCCACGGCCGAGGTGTCCATCATAGCTGCTCGCGTCATAGGAACAAATAAGAGTTATAACATGGATCATGTCGACATATCGTATAGACGATGTTGTTTTCTTTCAATCCAGTGAAGCAGGATTGGTCCTCCTCTCAGAAACTTTCCAGCCCCATCCAAGCGTAGTGTAGAGGGTACGAAGATTCTCTGAGGACAATGCCTAGTGCTGCTCCTCTTACTGGCTAGAACTGCTAGAGCTCTGAACGTGCAAGTCCTTATTAGGTCAACAACAAACCCCGAATCCGAGATGGACCCTCTAAAAAAGGGTACCCTTTTTGTTTCCATACAATCCCATCCCGCCCCTCCAACCAGTGTCAACCCCCACCATCTTCACTCCCACCCCCCAAAAAAAAGACAAAGAACTCCAACTACCTCTTCCACCTCGACTCAGCCCGTATACTCCCCTAAGCTGCCTTTCCTTGGATCTGCTCCTAATTGAGCCAACTAGGGGTTTTGCCATGGGTTTACCATTCAATCCCTCATGAACGGTCGACTCCAACCACACGGGTTACCCCGTCCTTCGCCACTTCCAGCTGCCCAAGCGGCTCCTGATGCAAAGGGCCTCTCACATACTCCGTGAAGGCCTCCGGGCCCTGCAGACTTGGCATGGCCCAGATAGACCACCCATGGGACTGGAATAGTTACCTACATTGGGGTCATAGAGGCGGAGGTAAATGTTCCAGTCCCATAGATGGTCTGGGTGAGGATCAAAATCTGTGGTGAACCATGGTGAACAAATATCTTCAGGCACAGTGAGGGTAATTCACGCTTTAAGGCTCCCGTGCTGGCTCAATGGGAAAGAAAACACCTTGAACACTTGGATTTACCGAAATACATGAGGTCATTCCCAAAGTATGGTCAGCTCGCGGCGCACGTTGCAAGCGTTTTTATTTTTTTTGGGGGGGTCCTGGTCTTGGCCCAAGATAAGATCTGCCTGTCCCGGGTTGAAACCGAGTCCGGTGCCCGGAAACAACCTTTCAAGTCCGAAAGCGCGCCCGTCAGAGAGGTCAAGTGACGATAGATGGGACCCGGAAAACCTGGGGTACCGGTTCCTGGGATAGCCGAACTAGGGTTCTTTAACCTCTGCTGGACCTGTTTGAAACAAGCGGTCGATCTGTTCCAAACAGCCCTGGTGACCACAGTGAAAACGTGTGAAACCAAGGTTTTTGGCGTTTCTTTGGAGATAGCTTCAGGATCCCCATGTTGGGATAGCATGGAAAATAGAAACATGTTTAAGGATCACCGGGAGCAGCCACACGACTCTTGGTTTCTTCCAAGCTCAACCATCACCCACCCCTCACCCCACCCACCCACGGTGGTGTCCGCGCCCCGTACCATTCGCTAATGGCTTCGTGGACGAACTTCTTGTCAAAGTCCAAGCGGCATTCCACCTGCTTCAAGTTTCAAAATAAGTTCCTAGAAGACTATAGGGCCTATCATGATCTTTAAGTAAGTGCTTCTGAATTGTCTTACTCTAGATAACTTTGACCTTGACAAGGCCAACATGCACAATATTGAAGTGTGAATATAGATAGAATTGCATTAGTTGCAATCATTGGCCACCTTCTGAGCCCCCCAAAAAAAATATCAAAAAACATCTACACCCTGGAAGATTAACATAGAACCTGAGAACCACTGGGTTGTAGCGGAATGTAATCTTCCAAAGCTCCATTTTCAGGTTCCATGTTAATCTTCCCGGGTGTAGTTTCTATAGGCACTGGCTTCATTTCCATCAACGAATCTGCTTGGTTGTTAGATGGTTAGAACGTGTTAGGCTTCACTTGGGCGTATGTCGCCGTCTTGACGCCGGCCGTCTTGGGCTGCGCCGTTCCCTCAAAACCGGGTTTGGTCCAGACTCCAGACCCCTCCGGATTTGGGTCCCGGAGGTCGCGTCGACGGGTCGTCAGAAGCGTCTTCGACCGACCCGCCGCACCGGCCGAGCACGAGCGAGTCGGCCGACACCCCACGTGCGGGTCGGCCGACACCCCACGTGCGGAGCAACAACGGAATGTGTCAAAACTGCTACTTGAGTCACCCTAGCTACTTATGCAGGGTGACTTAAGACCCTAGGGTATCCTAGCCTGTCTGACATGTGCACGAGTTCTTGCCTGAAAGGTACTCACCTCGAACAATGGCTAAAACGAACAATGGAGGACCACAGGTCATGATTCAACGGCAGTCTTGCCAGCTCAGTCTTTGGTGAATCGTGACAGGGTCGAGGAGGTAGATCTGTCCAGCCACAACATTAAGCGGAGGTGCAATTTCACGTTTGTCTTGAGACTGTCCAAAGGAAGCAGCATCACTTAAATTGGATTGGCCTGGAAGCTTCCTGATGTCAGCGGCACCTGTGTCCACTGTCATATTGTTTCATACCGCCAGTGATTCCACTGTGTTCATCACTGAAACCACCCTCGACTTGGAGCCAGGTGCCGTGAATGACATCTGAGAGTACTGGCGTCATCAACAACATGGTTTTTGAAGCCTAGGGCTCCAAGTGCCTTCGTTTCGAAGGTGTTTGAGGTGGGTGCCAGGAGGGTGTCATACCGAACCTGAGGAGGTACGACTGGAGCCCCTGCGAAAGCCATGTTTGGCTGTAGCTGCAAAGGTCTACTCTCCAAGCTGGAGACGTCCGCGCGACCGGAACCCGGAAGACGCCGATGAGTCGGAAGGTTCGGAGCAGTTGCCAGGCTTGCTGATGTCTGGCGGCTGCAAGGCACTGCAAGTCAGCATGCACTGTTTCCACACGGTTTTCTCTTCACGGCGACCCCTCGCTCCTTGTAATTGTAGACCTCCCATTCAATTCCGAACAGTTCTGCATACATGAGACCTGTTCGGCACCCCAGCCCCAAACCCTCGCGGAGGGTTCGGCACCCCAGCCCCAAACCCTCGCGGTCCTCTTCGCTCCCCTTTTTTGTCCCAAAACCCAAAAAAGAAACGACCAACAAAACTGTCACGGTGTGAAACACCGTCCACGGTGTCCATCCCGACTTCCAGACTGGCCCCCATCGGGCCCCCGGTCCCACATTCAGATGGGTCCGTCCCGCCTGGTTGAGGTCGAAGCGGGCCAAACCATCCAAAAGCTGTTGCCTCGCGAGCAGGTGCTGCCCTTAGTGACAGGCATCCGAGAGTTCAGCAAGGCCAGGCTGGGCCGCGAGGCAACGGCAACGCCAGTAAGGCGTTGACAGGTTGGGAAGGCGAAGAGAATGGATGCCCCGTTTAGGTCGTGCAAGAGGGATTTGGGCGAAAAAATGGCAGTGGGTTTCAGAGTGAGTAGATGGCACACCCCAAGATGTCTGACATAGATGAGAATGATGATGAGGGTCCATACAAACCACCTTTTTCAATTATGACTCAATCTACTCTCAATCCACTATCATATATACCCGGTCCGGCTTCCGTTCGACCATTCAAAGAGTTCGGTTGACCTGGTTGGCTTAGTGTAAAATCCATCAAACAGCTGGTGCTTCGGGAGTCAGGCCATTCAAACCATGCTTGGCCAGGAAGCATCAGATCTTCGGACCGCACCCGGGCGTCGAAACGAAACGAAACGAGTCCGGTACGACTGGAGGCCGGTTTCTGGGCCGTGCGGTCTCGGAAGTCTGACGCAGAGAGTGCAGCTGCTTGGGCAGTGCGGCGGAGAGTGCAGACCAAGCGGACGAAGCGGACGCACCGAGCGAGGGCGTCCGGCGTCCGGTACGAGCGGGAGTTGATCCGGACGAAGTAACGAAAGGGTGGGTCTATCCATATCTATCCCCAGAACCTGAACGATGTCTATTTTGGACCACCAACCACCCAAAATATGGCCCAACTTTCTATCAAAACAGGGGTCAAATGGGTTCCCGGTCCTTATAGCAGTGCATGATGATGGTTAGGTTGCAGGCCAACATCTCTAACATAATTGTTTACACACTGTTCCAGCTATAGACCCCCAAAAAAACAAAAGGACCACTGAAAACCCTGCGACCCTTCGTTCCCTTCCCTTCCCTTTCCTTCCGTAGAATTAGAATCCGCATACCCATGTTTCAACATATAGTCCTGAATATGATCCCAAGTATTATGATCCTCATGTTCATATCATGTTCATACAATCATACAATCCCGAAATATTCCAACTGCTGCTGATCAGTACTCCTCGCTTAGACTCTGTGACCTCCCGGACATGGACACCAGCCCAACCAGCCGACCTTCTGCCGAGCATCTCATGGAATGGAAGATCAAGATCAGTGGCACCAAAGCTGGTAACAGAGTGTAAAACGCCAGGTCACCGGTCAAGGCCACTGCTAAGACCCACAAGAGATTGATGAGCCTTGGAGAAGAAAAAAACAACCAAGGCTATATCCGGGTTGCGAAAAAGGAGTAGTGCAACAATTACATTGAAACAGCATGAAACAACAAGCACATGCTTTTGCACGGTAAACTGCCTCGAACACGGGAGAGTTTTCCGTGGCCATTGGTGGCTCATTGGTGGCTCTCACATGCAGGACATTGCGTGGATGGGATGGGGTGGCCCCCTTTCCTTGGGATGACTTCGGAGAAAAAACCAGTCCCAGGTGGTGAACTCTGCACCTCCATGGTCCCGTTTGGGCTCCGCTCCGCCGTTTCGGTTCGATGGCTAACAGGGGGCCCGGGTGGTCTTAGGGGGTCGAATACCACCGGTCACCGGGTCGGATGTTGGAGCCCTAGGGGGTATATATGCCGGTCAGTTGGGCATGGTTTGAGGGGTCAATGTATGCATGTATGGCATGTCTGGGTTATAAAATTCACGGAGTGTACCCTCTCGAATGTGCCCGTTCAGTCAATCTTCTTCAGGTTGAGATCGCGGACTGAAGGGGTTCGACACATGCCGATGGACCATGCGGCAGATGCGTTCGCCCACATCGCTGGTAGACTGGTGCCATCTCTGAAAGAGCCATTTGCTTGAAAGAAATGGTTAATAAACCATCATCTATCCACCCAAAAGCAACACCGACAAAACATCCAGAAACCCTAAAGCCTTAAACCAACCATCTATTCCCCCAAACCTGTCTGTCAAGACCAAACGGACCGTAGTCTGAACAGGGGACCCCCGACCCCCTGGACAGTGACCCCTTGTCGCTCTTCTGACTACACTCCGAGCAAGAGCCGTCACACGGAAGTGGACACACCAGCTGTTTGCAAAGGAAAATGGACATCCAAGGGGCCATGCCGTCCACGTAACCATGATGCTTTGCAGTGCAATGATGCTTTCAGGCAGTGCTTGGATGGCGCATTGGAGGAACTTGTAGCTGCCCTACCCTTTTTTCAATCATTTGCCTTCAATGACCATGCAATAACCACTCCCAAAAATCAGGTGTCCAAAGGGTACCCGTGAAAGTTTGGGTTCTCGACATGATCCTGACTTGCCCCCCCCGGAGAGAAACAACACAATAACTCTCAGATATATCGTGCTTTCAATCATTAAAGTCCCGTAAGCTGTGTGGGTACAAGAGAGGTGAACACGATATGTTGTTTAAAAGATATAGCATGTTATTCCATGGATTTCGCAGGTACATCTTTGCTTCCGGGCGCAACCCGCCACCAAAGCAACCCGCCGTCACTAACACCCGCCCAAGCGAGCCGAGCCGCTGGATGCCCAACCAGCAAGCCAAAACGGTGACTTCCACGAACCTCAGTGTCTCACGGAAGCATGGTTAAAGCTTCAGGATCAATCCCAACAGAGGTTAAGTGACCTTATAGGACCCGTAAAACCCTGGGGTATGGAACTGGGATAGTCTAGTTCGGGTTCAACAACCTCTGTTGGTCAGCTGGCTGGATTCAAGTTCACGGCTGCTCTAGTCCATAAGTTAAGACGGGAAGGCTCCAGGTGATGCAGTTCCTTTCGACAGAAAGCCGAAGTCCTACGCTACAGTCAGTTGGTTAGTTGGTTGGGGGGCTGTAGTACAACACCATGAAACAACTAAACTCGCAAAAGCAGGCATGGCTTTGTGCTTGGTGGAATGAATTATGCCACTTTCTGTTTTTGCTGCGAGGGGGTCTGATGTCAAATTTGCATATAGTCTTCCAGGGTGCCCCTTCCTTTCATAAGAAACAAAAAGCACGGCTGCTCGTTCCGTCGTTGCAAGACGAGACGAGACGAAGGCGTTCATACGCTCCACACAGCCGAGCAGCAATGGCTTGATGGAGATTGTCCCAGAGGGGTTCGCCATACCTGGGCTTCTGTCGACGGAAAATATCGTTGGACTGGCCATACCAACATTAACAAAGGTTGAAGGACCCGACTGTTCGACTATCCCAGTTCGGTACCCCGGTAGGTCCTAAAAGGTCACTCTCTTTACGTATATCGTGACGATCAATTTGCCGGGTTCTGTCTGGCATGTCTACATCCCAAGGATGCTTGATGGAGGTCCATAGAAACCACAAACGGAGATTGTGCCATCTACTCAGAAACCACTACAGGTATGACGGAGCTGAACAAAAACCATCCAAACTTCATCAAACTTCCATCCTGAGGCTTTTGTTTGGATGGAGACTCTCGCTTTAACGTCAGGGATTTCAGAGTGAACACAGGGCTGCAAAGGGTGGAGGTGGCCGCGGCCCAGCCAACGAAGGGGGCCAAATAGGGCCAGGATGGCTGGGCAGTTGAAAAGGATGCACGATCGGGCCAAACTAACATGTAAAGAAAAGGACATGGACAATGATTTACACATCAGTACAGTGCTCTTACCCATGCATTGAACCTGCATATTAGCCTAAAACCACCCATCCATGCAGGCAAATAGAACAGTTCCACGGATTGCCGAACATTTTTCAGCATAATCGTCGCTCCAAATTTGGATGCCCCAAATCGCAACAGCATGTGGAGGAACTGCGCAGCCTCCAAACTCGGAGCACGGTTCCCATATCTTCAGGGTTCCCATATCTTCACGGACCCGCTTCTGATTGTCGTTTTGACGCCATACAGATCCATATTCTTATATTGCTCTCTACAATTAGGTTCATGATTAAAAAGCAACATATTAACATATAAAAACACACCACGAGGTCCACAAAAAGCCTTTAGCATGCTTCTACTGTTCAATTGCGCGGACCATACGGGACCAACGACACGTGGTCCCAGTCAGACACCCGATTCCGATCTTCTCGGAGCTCCGAGCTCCGTCCGATCCTCTCCGCTTCAGGTCGATCGGTCCCAGTTCTCACCGATCCAGGTCCGCGGCGATAGGCACCAAGCTCGAAAATGCACCACCTCAGGGATCCACCGGTCTATACCGAGCTACCACCGGTCTATACCGAGCTACCACCGACTGAGCACCACCGCAGTAGGAGCTACCCCGCGGACCACCCCCCCCGCAAGCAAGGCTGTGATATACCAGCCTGTCGACAGGCTGTCCTGGCTGGAGGTCTAAGTAGCGGGCTGGGTAGTCCAGCCAGGACACCCATTGGATGGTCCTAACATGCAATATAACATACGTACTGTAATGTAGCATACAAGGTCCATTTCATGCTGCCACACCAAACAAGAACGAACCGAACAGAAGGCATGCGCATCTTCTTCGCCTGTCGCCCCCCCTGTCGGCGAAGCCGCCTGCATCGTTGTTCCGATTCGGCCACCGATCGCCGACTGGTCACCGCCCTGTCGAACGATCGAGCCCCAGCCCTGTCCGCTGGGTTTCAGCATCTGGCCCAACTGGGTTCAGCATCAGGTTCATGTCCAAGGATCAATGCCCTAATTAGGGCTCCAGGAGGTTACCTCCGAAACGAAGGTATGACTGGACCCTCTAAACCCACCCCAGTCCCACCTTCTCAGAAGGTATTTGGAGCCCTAGGGATACAGTAATGATAAATGTGGGCACAACACTCAACCCATGTGGGAAACAATGGCAAAAACATGGCAGCTCGCAAGCAGGAAGAGCTTGCAGCTCCTATCTGAAACGTTCCAACCAGGTTCAGGTACGACACAATGTCTACACCTTACTTTCAACTCACACTCATAAAATATCAGAAGGCCTGCGTGGTTCGAACTCCTCCTAGAAGTGCGTGTGTGTGTGTGTGTGTGTGTGTGTGTGCTTAGCATGTGTACCCGACCCATCTCATCACTAATCCGATCCCCAGGGCCATCGATTTGCCTCCCTTGGCATGGTTGACTCGGTCAGCTGCATGTCCATAGATGGATGGTCCGGAAAAGAAACGCGTCGAAACACATGTTGATCTCACACCTATACCAAATCAAGTCCCCCCACAAAACTGGTTCTTTGCAGTGGCATAGGTGAGTAGCTTAGCTGGCTTGGCAGGGTTAGAAATCCATTCTTTGGTTCCTTTTCGGGGCAACCTCCACTGTCTTCCCCACCTCCAGTATAAGCACCAGGGCCAATCATCCCATACTCCTTGAACTAGTCCTTGGACCCCTGTTTCGCTCAGAAAGCAACTTAAAAAAAAAGAAACATCATTTGCAAAGTCTCCTCCTTCGGAGTGTCCTCCAAAAACAAAATGCTTCGATAGAACATCTAACAACATCTATGATTTTGATCCGTTGAAAAAAATAGGCAGAACAACATCATTAGCTGAGTCTCTTCTGTGGGGGTCTTCTCAAAAAGGATCACATGTACGCTTCCCATGAAATATCCCATATATGCCCCATGTATACTCAGCTGGGATGACCATTCTGACCATTCTCATCTACAAACCAGGTGGTTTGGGTCCAAAAGATGCATTTTCTCCACCAGGGCCAGGCCGTGCCGTGCCAGGCCACAGTCGAGACAAATACGGTGGACTCCATAGGATCCGAAGCTCCTTCCACCCGGCGGAGACCCGGTTGGCCCAACTGGAGGGTGGAACTGGATCCGGTCTAAGAAGCGAGTCGACCCAGTTCATGACTTAGTTCCTTGCTTTGCCCAGTCGATCGGAATTAGTAAGGGAAGGTTGTCGTTTTTTTGCTTTGTAAGTTGTATCTTGCATTTGTTCCAATGGTTTCATTTAGTTGAGTGATGAGGTATGATGAGGTTCATGGATCACGCTGATCATTTCAGTCATTGGCAATGAATTGATCTGAGTCCGGCGCCTCATCACTCATACTGACTCATACTGTCTTGGGCACCTGGGTTCTTCAGGCCAAACACCTTGGAAGACCCGTGGCCCGTGCGGGGTCTTGACCCCGGCATCTGAACCATTCGCCGACCGAGAAAGTGGGAGAACCAGTGAAAACACACATCCTTAGGGCTCCAAGCACCTTCTGAGAAGGTGTGGTTTTGGAGGGTCCAGTCATACCTTCTGAGGAGGTACCACTGAAACCCTAGGAACTTATATACCCATAGGGTCCAGATACATCCTAAGGGTGGCCTTGGAGTCTTGGAGGTAAAAGTGCTTCCAAAGAATGGTCTAGTCTTGGGGGGGCCAAAGGGCATCCGATTCGGATGGTCCTGGACCCTTAGGGAATCTTAGGGATATCATGATCACATCCATTCAGTTGGGCAAACCAAGCCAATGCGACTCAGCTGCGGAACACTTTTGGGCCCCAAGAGTGTCATTGAACGACGTATATGACTCTTTGGTGTCCCTTGGTCCCTTGGCCCAAAAGATTTGCATGGCACCCAGAGCAGCCTGCCTTGGATGCCTTCAAGAAGCCTCGAAAGCGCGGCGGGGCATTTCACCACTGCAATGGCATGGGATGGGTTGAGGAAGTAAACGTTGATCCGTTGATCCGCATCTCCTAATACCAACAAACAAAGGTTGAAGAACCCTAGTTCGGCTATCCCAGTTCCGGTACCCTGGTTTTCCGGGTCCTATTGACGGTCACTGGCTACCTCTGTTGGTACTTTCAGGTCGCATGAGTACCCTGTATCGCAGCGCAGCAAACTTCATCCAGATCCCTGGCAATGGCTGCCAAATGCGAAGGAGAAAGCTGTTGACAGGCAACCTATGCCCTTTTTGGGGCTCCAAGCAGAAGGGAGTACTGGACCCTCCTGGCACCCACCTGCTTGGAGTTCTAGGGATGTTCATCATGTGCTTTGATGTTCTTTATGAACAACGGATCCCATCAATATGAATCAAAATGCAAAAATCACCGGCTCATCACATCTTTGGAAAGTCACGACGTCCGCCTCCAATGCTATCCACGCTTCCCTCAAAGCCAAAGCATCCGTATACGGATGCTTAAATATATGGAACATACTATGGAACATACACCCCGGCAGATTAAGATGGAACCCCAAAACCACTGAGTTGTAAGGGACACTTCTTTTTCTATGGGTCCATTCTGAGGTTCCATGTTGAACAAACGGGGGGTCTGTGCCTACATGGACTCCTCAAACTACCCCAACGAACCAACGACCGACACCCGGTGCCCGGCCAACCAGTCGTCTTCCTTCTCCGACGTCCGCCTCCGAGCCCATAGATGCCACGCTCCTTCAGGTGATCATCGGCTTGGTGGATGCAGGCCACATCCAAGAAACACACCTGGCGATGTCGTTTCCGATCGACAAGTCCGCGGGGTCAGTTGTGGTCAGAAGGGTCTGATGAAGAACGTGATCAGATGTGAGAATGAGACGTGGCAGCCGTGGACAACAGGGCGGACCAACCAAGGTTGGTCCGAAGCCTAGTTCGACCATTCCAGATGGCTACCCCACTAGGTACCCCAGGTTACGGGTCCATAAAAACGGTCACTTCACCTCTTTTGGGATGTTTGGTGCAGGTCAAGCGGGACAGCGAGACTCCATGAACATCATGACGCGGATGGGAGCTGGGAGCTGGGAAGACGAGGTTCCGAAGACCAAAAGAGGGGAGGGCTGTGCGGTTCTGTTGGTTGGACGGGGGGTCACGGTCTGCGAGATGGACGGGGGACGTTGCATCCCGAGCTGAGGCTCACCGAGCTGCTGTTACAAAAGCTGTCAACCTAATGTAGGCTCTTGATTCATCAACTGCCCATACGAAGAGGTTGTTCAATTCAAGAGGAGGAGGAACTGTTAAAACAGATCCCACATAATTACATGGATCCAGATCCGTTTTTCGCTTCCCAGGCAGATCTCCCCCTATTTTTGCCAACACCTGAAATCATGCTCCACGCCTGGGCTTGGCTGGCGTAAGGTGCGAGGAGGAAGGGCACCAGCGAGACGGCGGGCGCCAAGATGGTGCCCCACTGGCTGTAGGGCACATCCCAATCTGCCCGCAGCAAAGAGGTCACAGCGCGAGGAGCCCGGCCGTCCCCCACCGGTTAAGGAAAGCCTAGCCGATTCATCGGCGATGTGTCACATGGATTTCGTGGGATGTTCATGGTTTTTGGGCAAGTCGGGGGAGCTTAGGTTCATGGGTCGGCGAGTTCGAAAGGTGCGGAAGGTGTCCGATGTGAGTCCTAATCCCCTAAGGGGACATGGGCGGTCAGCGCCGCCGCAAGAAAAAAACTTGGCAGAACATACCTCTATCCTGGTCCACTCCGATCGGCAGGATGAGTCATGACCCTGGACGTTTCGTCACAACCCCTAGGGCTCCAAGTACCTTCTGGGAACATGTTCTTTCCCTGTGGCCCGAACAAACGGCGTCGTCATCCGCAACCATCGTGACGGACATCCCTAGAGTCACGTCCCAGTCGCTATAGGTGCCGCCAGGATTAGAGACGTCCCAGCGGATGTGATCCTTGGAACAACGGATGGGAAGATGAGAAATTCGAAGGACACATAAATTAAAGGCGAGCATGAGCGAGTGGATATGAGTGGATACCTGCTGGTGGGTCAAAAGCCTTTGCTGTGTGTTATTCATATATTTACAACAAGTATAGTATCATAAAACAAAACACTCTGGGCATCCCACGAGTTAAGGAACTAGAGTTTCTAGGTATATGGCATTTGTCTCTGGAAGCACTGATTGCCAGCTATGGTGGTAACCAGTGCTCTGGGCATAATTTCATTCCAAATCTCCGATTAAAACACCTGCACGTGTGGCTCATATGTCAACATTTCTATGAACTTTTCCACCTAGGGCTGATTTGTCAACCTTGTCAGCAGGGCTGGATTCTAATCTCCGCGCCAAGGCTCAGGGGGCAAAAGGTCAAGGTAGAAAAGGAGCTCCATGAGAATGATCGCCAACAGCCAACCTGAGCGAAGGGAGTACAGTGTACCCTAGGGCTCCAACAACCTTCTGAGAAGGTAGTTGGGGTAGGTGGGAGGGGGGGTCTAACTACCTTCCTGAGGATGCGATATACACTGTACACTCTCTGAAATTGTGATGGAAGTGGAAAACCACCTGCAATATCGGTTCCACTCCGACTTTTCACAAAGCAATCAGTTTCGAAGCAAAAACCGTCGATCTGCGCACATGATCCCATCTAGTGCTGGGAACGGCACCGTCATTCCCAACGCCAGGTCACAAAGCAGGATGTTCCTCCAGCTGATCTGCAACGATAAAGCGAGGAATTTCCAAATCCTTAGGGCACGCGGCACGCAAGGTGCTGGTACTCAAACCCGGAACCCTACAAATCCAAGTACCTTCTGAGGTACGGTGATGTGTTCGACACTGTTATGTAGGTGCCAGGAGGGTGCAAGTGCTTTCTGAGAAGGTATGACTGGATCCTTAGGGGTTCGGAAGGTCAGAGCACTGTTTTGAACCATGTCCATGTGGTCCCATGGAGCGTCCAGCTGACGGGCCTCGCACTGCGGGAGCTCCAGCTGCAAGAAGCACCGCACCGTCGTTCGAACAGGATTTCATGATATTTCATGTAGACTGCCCACTGGAAGTCAAACTGGGGCCCCCGAGCCGATGTTGGACACCGGGGTGCATGCAACGTCGAAACTACCAGGGTTAGTTATTGTAAACTCCGGTGTGTAGCTCAAGTAGAAAACGCGCACGGCCCCGCTGCTCACCAATAATCCCCATGAGCAAGGCCCTGGTGAACTACCAGTATAAACACGTCACAAACATCACTATCCCAAACAGCCATGCCAAACATCTAGTGCTCGACAGAAGAAACACTTCACCTGTGTGGCTCTGAGCATGCAGGTGCTGAACAAAACATCAAGAACCACAAAATGTGGAAAGGCTAAACAATGCAAAACATTGGGTCTATCCGATATCCATCGATATCCCATTACCAGTGGATGATGGCTGTAGATTGCAGGCTGACGTCCAATGTTCTTGTTGAGCCCGACACCTCTACAGGTCATTGACAGCACCTCGATTGGGCTGTGCATCAGTGGCTTGGGGCTCCAAGGGATCTCACCAAAACTCACCTTGCGGTGGGGAAACCTGACTCTTGGAAGAAGTGCCCCCCTCGCGCAAATGCCTGTCAGTATGCCTGTCCACTCGACACATGAATTTTGCCAAGAGACCCCTTGGTGTGCCAAGTATGAGACAAGAAAACATCCTTGGCACAAGAAGACAGCAAAACACGTGGCACGCGGCGCGTGTCTTAAGCGCGGGAGGCTGGCCGACTGACCTCCAGCTTGAACCAAATCCAGTGGAACGAGTCCACTTTCCTTGAGGTCGCAGCCGATTTTCTCACAAACAGTTTTGCTCATCGATTTTGTGAGAAATCATGGATCGCCAGGCTTACCTGGTCGAGCCACTGGAGCGAATCACTCAGCCCACTGGAATCGCCACTGCGATTCACCAAATAACCGTGGGAACTGTTGAATCTCTTGGTACGTTCGAACGCTTCGAACAGCGGAATCACGACATGATCATTACGACGTGATACGAAGAAACTGGAGCAAACACTCAATACAATGCAAACCGTGTATTATGGAAGATATACTATATGCCAACATTGACCCCTGAAACCACACTAAATGTATGTAAAATCTTCTTTAATGTATGGCTTGAAGCCACACTACATGTAGCTAAAGCGTCTTTAAACATTCCACACATGTTACATGACCTGGGCAAGTGCAAGAACAACACGAGCTTAATTCATGACTTCACGACCTTGTCCAGCTCCTTGCATGGCAAAGCATCAAACTCGCTGACGGACATTGCATCGTGCCACAGCTTGATCTGGCGCAGAAAGGGTATCTTTGTCGTGTCCGTATGGTACACTCCTTGGAATCATCATGGAAGTGCATCTCACCACCTGGTTGGCATTTGGATGCATTTGGAACCTTCAACTAATATATAACTATCAATATGATACTCTCAGCAGTGTCATTGCAAAAAGAAGGGCAACGGGTCAAACACATGGGCATCCTAAGGATCGAAGCCAGGAACCGGTACATCCGGGTGACGCGGTGCCCGCGTCAAGGCCCTGACATGCACGATGTTCCACCATGCAGCCAGGTTCTCCAGCCTTTTTCTGGGAGCTCTTGCTATCATATCCCTGGAAATCCAGTCGTACCTTCTCAGAAGCTGATGTGCTGTGTTCGACACTGTTATGTAGCTTTGGACGGGTCCAAGTACCTTCTGGGAAGGTATGACTGGATCCATCTGGATCCCTAGGGTATGCTATCTATACGCCAAGAGGTTCCGCGACTCGGGTTCCGACGCTCGTTCACGTCACCTGGCCTTCTTCTCCTGAGGCAGGTCGATGGGTGAGCCACGCCACAAACGTCCTAAGCCCCGAAGAGTGCTCCTGAGGAGGACGCCCTTCATGATCTCCTGCGTGAGAACGCCCTTGAAACTGGAAGAGTTGCACACATCTAGTTAGGGTAACTGTTACGCATGTTCATGTGGCATATTTACATGTATCATAACCCTACATTGACCCCTCAACCCCACCAAATGTAGGTATATATACTTGGTGTGGTTGGGGAATGTATAGTATTATAGTGACCTTAGGACTCCAACTATCTCCTCAGGTGACCGGTGGTCTTCGACCCCCCTGGCACCTGGGCCCCCTGTCCCACCGAACCGAAACGAGTTCGGTGGGCCAGGAGCCCTATAGGGGGTATCATTATTCCATGGAGTGTCTGAGGGTGAGACATCGATGCCACCCACCAGGGGCGGTGTCCGCGGTGTCTGCTCATCCGTGCGGTGTCCGCGGTGTCCGGTTGGATGGGTCAGGGGGTGTAGAACAATCAGCTGCCGGCAGGGTGTTGGATGGGTCTGTTGAATATCCAAATGGCCTGGCAGAGTGTAGACACGACCTGTCTGGCCAGCCAATGCCTGCCGCCCCAGACAGACCCCCCGGGTCCACCACCCCGATCGGCCGTGCCATGAAGGCAGTGACTGGCAGTCCCAGACGAGTTGTGGGACTGGACCGTATGGGGTTCCGTTCCCACACGCGTGGAGTCTGCTCGGTATCGACTGCAACGGCTCGACGGATCGCTTTGGGGTGTCAATCCCTAAGGATCCAAGTACCTTCTCAGAAGGTACTTAGATCCTTAGGGAATGTAGGCATAAATGGCAGTCCCATGGATCGTCGTGTCTGGGTTTGATGATCTTCAACCACAAGTTCATCGCTCGGACCAAGCAAGCGAAGCCCAAGGGACCAGCCCAGCGGTTCCCTGAGCTGACGAGGATTTTCACGCGCAGGATTTGGAGTCCACTGAAAGCACCCCAATATATATATATGAAAATGATGTATCTGGGGGACCCAACATGGAAGGGCTTGAAGCATCCGCAGTGTGAGGTACCAGTAGGTACTTAGGATGTCCATTGTCCACTCACGAGCGCAAAAGACCGAAAAAAATAAAGAGTTTCGAAACCCAAAATTTGGAAGAGAAAGGTTTGACCTTTGGATATCTCAAGGATCCTAGGGACAAAAGGAAACAATATTCACCAGAATCATGCATACGGCAAATAACAACCACTGCCATGGCACGGGTTCAGTTTAAAGCGTTGAGAAACAAGACCCTCCCATTCAGAAGCTCCTGGTCGGACACCAGCTTCTTCTCAAGGAGGAAACTTCTTCGGACCTTGCCTGGGAAGGTTGGAGCAATTGTGGAGCATCCGGGTGAAACAAGACCAAAACAGGCTTCCTCGCTTCCGGGAACGCTTCCAGGAACAGAACGCGCGGCCCAAAGATCGTCCCTCTCCCCCGCCCTCTCCCCCGGATCGGAATCGTTCTCAAGGCCATCTCCACGCGGTGTAGGACAGTAGGACACTTGGACCTACACCTGCCAAACTTGGAGGCACAAACCAACCAGGTATGGAAATACTGTTGATGGACAAAATCCTGCACCACCTCACCACTTTACCCTGGAAGGGTCGCATAGCAACCCCCGTTCCCCCTCATTCAATGTTGGCGCGACCCCTCTGAGGAGGTGGTGCAGGATTTTGGACCTTCAACTTGTTTTTGTTTTCTCACTGTGGTGGCCCCAATGTTAACGAGGGAGAACGAGGGCAGCAAGAAAAGTGTGCGCAAAGTGGTGCAGGATTTTGTCCATCAACAGTATGGAACAGTATGGACTATATAGTTACATACAATGACCCCCTAAGAACATCATGGCCCATCCATGTATCTATATAACTCTGAGTAAGTCATCCAAACCGTCCATTTGGGTACAGAATCAGTCACGTCACACGACCCTCCGGAAACGTCGCGTCCTGAGATGTTTCATCGGTCGCGTCCGGAGATGAAGGCGCGATCAATGGGCACGTCCCAGGACGAACGGCGTGGGACGACACAAGACTGAGTCATGTAGACTCTTGATTCATAAACCCTCTCCATTTGAATTGAAACGCCTCTTCATATGGCGGGGGTGATTAATCAAGAGTCTACATTATAAGTAAATGGCAGTGCCCGCGGGTGTGTGTGTGTGTTTCAACCCCTGTTCCGACGGGTGCTTACACGCAGGGGGCGACAGGGTCACTGCATAGCTGTCGCCAACGAAGCTCTATGCAGCTGACCAGGATGCAGGGACTGATCATCCCTGTGTACCTGCTACAACTTTTGAACACGCTGTCCAATTTGATCGGTTTGATTCATGGTCCTTCATGCTACCTACCCCTCAAACCATTTTCTCTCAGCCACTTTCAGCAGCCGCGCGTTTTACAGCTTGTCACTGCAGTTGTGAGCAAACCATTTGTTAAAACACCTTCAACTCATCGGACCTTTCACCGTGCCGTTCCATCACCATTTTTTCCTGGAAATTGAGTTAACTGAAAACCAATGTCAGAGTGTGAGCCGCTCAGTCTTCCCACTCGGGTGCTGGGTGTGACCCTCCGAAAGGAGGCGCTGTTATCATTCCGGAAAGCATCGGTTTTTCTTTCTTATAACTGACTCCACGTTTTCCAGTTCTATAACTGAATTATAACGGAGTTTCGAGCCGCCGGGCTATAAACGATGGAATACCATCAACTTGCAATCACAGCCGCCGGGCTAAAAAACGGATTTGATAGCCGCCGGGCTTAAAAACGGAAATTCACCCCACTTGAGGCAGGTCTCCCAACCCCCCCCCCCCCGCCGAGTTCTACTCCCTACCTAATTAGGGTAACAGAGGGAAATGGTACTACACTTGTGTGTCGGTACCTTTCCCTCTGTTGTCCCTTTTCTATTCTTCTCTACCGGGGCGGTTTAAGACTAAAGTCCCGCTCCCTAACTATTGCACGTAATTCGCTTCTGCTAAGTAGTCAGTAACTCTAGAGTGCTAAGTATGCATACACACACACGGACACACACATGTACATACACCTCCCTGCCCCCCCCCCCGCTTTCCTTCTTGCGCTTTTGGTCGTTTCTTGGGCTTTCTCTCAGGCTTTTTAGGTTGCTCTTGAGGCTCGTTTCCCTACCCCAGTCAAGGGCTAAGTATTCACTTTTTCCTACACCTACCTTTCTCTCTTGACCTCTTAGCGCTGCTCTTTCTGTGTTTCTTTTGTTTCTAAGGCTTTTTAGGTACCTATTCAGGTTCTTGGCACGGGCGCCGCAAAGCGGCACCGTGTGTGTGTGTGTCAACCCCTGTTCCGAAGGGTGCTTACACGCAGGGGGCGACAGGGTCACTGCATAGCTGTCGCCAACGAAGCTCTATGCAGCTGACCAGGATGCAGGGACTGATCATCCCTGTGTACCTGCTACAACTTTTGAACACGCTGTCCAATTTGATCGGTTTGATTCATGGTCCTTCATGCTACCTACCCCTCAAACCATTTTCTCTCAGCCACTTTCAGCAGCCGCGCGTTTTACAGCTTGTCACTGCAGTTGTGAGCAAACCATTTGTTAAAACACCTTCAACTCATCGGACCTTTCACCGTGCCGTTCCATCACCATTTTTTCTTGGAAATTGAGTTAACTGAAAACCAATGTCAGAGTGTGTGTGTCTGTGTCTGTGTCCCTGTGTGTGGGAGAGATAGTTTGGAACCTCATGGGACCCAAATGGGAATGACTTGCCATTTCAACTTCAGCTGTCCAGGTTGCTATCTTCACGAATCCCAACACGCGACACATCAGAGTCTTGGCCTCTCCTCGGTGTCGCAAAAGACTTGGGTCCAGTCAGCATTTAAAATTGGGAAGGAGAAGCCAGGCAGAATAGAAAACAGACTCTCAGAACACTAAAGCATACAAAAACAATATGATGAGTGTTGGAAGCCTTTCAGGCAGGATACACTTGTACATATTGTTCTATAGCATAGCCTGAATATGTCATAAATGGCCATAACTATTGTCACAATGTTTCCCTCGGGTTCTGTGCTAGATATATATATATATAAACCTATCCACAGAACTGTTCATGTTCCAGCATGTTCAAGCAGCATCCAGCCATGACCAGCTACCTATACGGTTATTTCTTCACAGCTTATCGATCTCTTGGCTCCAACAAAGGCCACAACGCGACGAAGGACAGTGCGGTTCGCAGGGACGAAGGAACATGTGACCTCATCCCTAGGCCCTATAGGCGACATCACCGAAAAAATCATGGAACATGCAAGAAGCAGTAAGAGCTTTCGACCGGAAACCCACTCATGTTACAGTATATATGCATGTTATATACTCTTGCATGTCTTATTCTCTTATACTCTTGAATCGATCGCCTTCCATTCTCGCTCATGTCCGGGTCTTGTCCATGCTCGGCCCAGCGTCACTGGCTCCAAGACCTCCTCCTGGCTGTCGGCCACTGACAGCGTGTGCACCGGCTCGACCGGAGGATCCGCCGCATGCGACTCGCAACACGAGGGCGCCGCGCCCATCACGGGCGGAGCGTCACGCCATGGCACGGACGAGGTCTTCCGCCCGCCCCGCAGGGAAAACCTGCGTGGGGGTTTGACTGGGCGGGGCTTGACTCGAAGTTCGGAGGTGTTCGGTGGTGTTCCGGGTTTGGTGGTAGCTCCCAAGCATCTGGTGCCCTTCGATGATGGGCAGAAGGTCGTGGGCGAGGTGAAGGGCCTTGATGGGCGAGGTGAAGGGCCTTTTTCTGTTCGTAAGCCTCCAGTAAAAGCCTCCATCGAAGTTGAGGCCATATATTGTACAACAACTTCCCTCAAAATCCTTGTAAAGATAAAGAAAGTACCAAAAAACAGGACGGGGACTTACAGGGACATCCCCCCAAAAAGAACCGATATATAAAACTAACTATCAACATCACGGCTCTTGGAATCTCTTCACAGCCTAACTGTTACGGCAATGAGTGAGTCTATGACCCCTGTGGCATCTGGAAACCCATGCTTCCTCCCTTGGTGACCATGCTTCCTCGGGCCTACCAAAGCGACGGTGCGGCGGACGATCGCCGATAGCTGCGACGATCAGAGTGGGAATCAAAGCCTAGTGCCACTCTGATTGATAGATCTGATAATATAGTTCCAGGTTGATATAGTATCCAGGTTGATTCCCATCTTAGTTCTGTCTGGTTCCATGAAGGGGGGGGCTGCCGAACCCTGGAGAGCGGTGCCATAATGAACTCACTGGATCGGAACACATAAATACACAGAACTGTGTAACTCCTGGTGCAGTTCGTGAAGCAATTGTGGAAGGATGTGGATAGGATGAGCATGGGCCCCCGGTTTCGGAGAACTCATTCTTCCTGAAGACCTTAATCACAGGTGATGGTGAACGGCACGTCCTTGCGATCCCTAGGGATCCAGTCGTACCTTCTCAGAAGGAGACTGGAGACACAGTACTGCAGGTTTGGAGGGCATCCAGGATGTGATCAATTGAAGTGTTAAATCACGTGAGCCCCGATTTTCGGAGGGATCGAAGAATTCCTTTTTACCCAGTCGGAGCTGTTCGAAGAGGGCACTGTCCGGTACAGGAATCCGGCGAAAAAGAAAATGTAAGTGGCAAATATTTTACTGTACCCAAACACTCCAAGTATGTCCTGTGATTGGGTTATAGGAGCCCAACCCTAAACAACACAAAATCACACAGCTTCCATGTGCGTGTGCGTTCACACCGTTTAACCGCCATCTCGTCTGAGGGTGCCATCAGGTCAACACATTCACCAACACAAATGAAAACGCTCAGCCAGTTGACTGGATGAGGCATCTGCCCCAATCATCCGATTGGTTTGCAAATTCGCCAAACGTGGAGGATTAGCAACAGTCTTCAACTCTGTTCAGTAAGGTGTACTGAAGTGATCACTGCAATGACTCGTATACCATGGAGAACCCCAACCGATCGATCCCATCGATTAAAATGCCTCGCACCCAAAAATCACGAGCAATCAACCGCACGCGCGGGTGTATGTGTGTGTGCAGCGCCGCCCTTTTCTGGGCTGAGGCTACGGGAGTCGGAGTTGCTCACAAGAAGCTCACCATCAGCTGGAAGACCAACTCAGGACATGCCCTGGCTGAATCGGACCGGACGGCGTCAGTCTTGGATGGCAGTCATGGAGCTGGTCATGGATATGAAATACTTTTGCTTTATCACCAACTCTGAACGAAGAGGTGCGGGGCCCCTGTTTGGGGAGATGGATGGATAACACTGCATCATTTTCCCACGCAGGAAATTCCACGGAACATAGATCAGGTGGATGCTGTTCACAATGTTTGCCGGTTGCCAACAAAGTAAGGGGTTGCCGCTTCAATCTTGTGTTTCGACGGAGTGTACAAACAGCCGAATCAGTGAGAACATGACGAAGCTGGATTTCCAGGATTTCCAGTTACCATACTGCAAATAATGCAAGTTTCTCGGCGAAAGTCCCTTGTGCTTTGTCTGTAAATGCAACTAATAAATGTGTTTTTGATCCAAATAAATATTGAGCCCTTCCATTTTTTTGGAATAACTACATAGTTTTCAATTTGTTAAATTTACACAGTGTTACACATATGTTTTTACAACGGTCCGGGACTGTGTTAACAAATGTTGACAATATATTAGACAGCGCGGGCAACCCGGCCTGCTATTTCGCGACCAGCCGGCCGGCCGGCTGGCCAAATAGCGGCCGGCCGGCCGGCTGGCAATAGCGGCCGGCCGGCCAAGTAGTAGTAGTAGTAGTACTACTAGACGTAGTAGTAGTAGTCGTCGTCGTCGTCGTAGTCCTAGTCCTAGTCGTAGTAGTAGTAGTAGTAGTAGAAGAAGTAGTAGTAGTAGTAGTAGCGATTTCTTCCACGGCCGGCCGGCCGGCTGGCACCTTGATCGGCCGGCCGGCCGGCTGGCACCTGGAGCGGCCGGCCGGCCGGCTGGCCATAGCGGCCGGCCGGCCGGCTGGCCATAGCGGCCGGCGGGCCGGCCACGTCGTAGTAGTAGTAGTAGTAGTGGTAGTAGTAGTAGTAGTAGCCGATGGTCGTTGATCAGCCGGCCGGCCGGCCGGATCTTGGCCGGCCGGCTGGACCGTGGATCTTGGCCGGCCGGCCGGCCAGCTGGACCGTGGTGCTGGACCGTGGTTCTTGGCCGGCCGGCCGGCCGGCTGGCTGATCGAGAAATAGCGGGCCGCGATAAGCTCGCAATGAATATATTAGACTCTAAATTCGACCATTGTATATTACTCTGGGTTCTATTCCAGGACGAAAAAACAACTTTTGGACGCTTAGTACAAACTAAAGTTATTACCAGGCCCCACATACCCGTACTTGCTCTTATTCCCTGTCCTCCAGCTCCTCCTCTTCCTCCTCAAGGGGTGAACATCCAAACAAAGTGTTAAACACTCAACTTCCGGCCATGCTCCACATCTGCTACGAATTGAAGCCTTCGTGATGATGTTTTTGTGCTTTGCCATAGGGCCCCCAACAGGGATTGAAACTGCTTGAACATAGTTAATTTTGAAAAAGAGACAATCCTCTCCACCCACGCAAATCCCTACTCGAAGCTATAGTTGGACATTAATGACCCCTAGGAGCACCGGTTTGAGGTAGGTTTTCAAACCGCCGCGAAGTCGGCGCTGCGCAGTGAAAAGGTCTACCCCCGCGCCGTTGCAGGAAGCTGGCCAGGCCGCCATCCGTCCCAGTGGTAAGTCCACACCTGAAGCGAAGGAAAGGAAGGGAAGAGAAGGGGAAGGGGAAGGGCAAGGCAGGGGAGGACAAATCCAGCTGGTTCTGATTGACCAAAATCATCTTCTAGTACAGTCGAGAGGTTCTTCCAATGGGTGTCTCATGGAGACCTATAAGTAGTGTACGATGCTCCGTTTGGTGGCCCTGAACGGAAGGAGCTGGTATCGATAAACCCAGAAAACGGTCGACGCCCCCATGGCACACACGAGAGGCTGCCGCATGTGATCATCACTTCCAGTCTCGCCCCTCAAATGCTCCATGGTGGCGTCATGGACTGCCCTGGATGAAAGCCACCCGAAACATCCCAAAACCACCAAATGTAAGCAACAATACGTGAAGCATCTGGGATACGTTTCGGGTCGCATGCAGCATTGCCATCTGCTAGGAAGAACCTCCCCAGCCACCAACCCGTGGCAAAACTCCAGGCCTCAGAAGGAAGGCGCCACGCTTGCAGCCTTGGCTCCCAGAAGGTGCTCCCTCAAGGTGGTGCAGTGGTGCAGACTTCATTGAAAAACCTGGAGGACGCCTACAGGACCTCGCCACCCACATCCATGCAGCACCTTCTACCCTGGTGGATCCTGCTAAAATCCTGTCAAACAGCCTGTTGGACAAAAATCTCGTCTTGCGCCATCCATGCCGACCGATGTTTCAGCTTGTCCTTTCCAATGCTAACTTCTGACTCCTTCAGGTGATGAGCATTCAATATATGTTTCTACCGCTTCAGTTTCCCACAAAACAAACATCATGGGTCGAAACCGGGTCCTAAGCCAATCAACCGGCCACACAGTCCACATGCAGAATCGTTCGCTCTAGCTGCGCCTAGTTCTCGGCATCCCGGAACGAACCCTTCGTCTCAGTGCTACATGTCTATCTACTTTGGGAGCACCATAGTTTTGTTGCTCTTTGGATGTTGAATTTAACGTAGGCAAACAAATGAGCAGCTGGTCAACATTCAGGCGGGCGCCGTCTTGCCATTATTGCAAACCTAATTGATCTTGCTGGTGGATAGCCTATATGTGGCTGTGGGTCAAAACCGGGATACCTGGCCCAGGGATCTGTTTTTTTAGACCCACCCCGATATACCTTGTTGAGAGTGCATATTCTCCATCTATCTCCCCGTGGCTGCAAGTTGGTGAAAGGCAATCCAAGCTGCGACAAGTTCTCCAGCCAGTGCTGCGCTGGTGGAACCGGCGGCATAAAGTAAAACACATGCACACCAAATATGCAACTGTTGCACCAAAATAGGCCTATGATCTGACATGGAATACCCACAGCATTCAACCAAAAATTATACAAAACCAATGGCCTTCAGGTTCTATTTGATCCAATGTTCATGGCTTGAAAATCCTTGCCCAACGGAAGGTCAGCCCATGACCTGCTGCTCACCTTATCCACCTTGCGGGCCCCAAATCCAACCTCTCAGAGTCTGACGCCAGAAATGCCGCCGGGCACCTGCAGTTTGCCATTGGACCATTGGAGAGGAGAACAAAAGAGGTGAACAGGATTGAACAGGTGCACACCTTGAAAAATCACCATCACGCAGTGCACTTTGCTTTTTCTATGTCCTAAAATGATTAAAAACATGATAACCATATTTTTGTTTACCTTGATACATGTTCTACATATATTTGTCTGAATAGTATGTTTACGTTGTTTGTGTTCGTTCCATTCATTCTGAAAAGAAATCTCATAGTCCTTTGTTTCCTTCTCTTTCTGCTGCCTGTTGCTTGGTTCATGCCTAACATAACTTAATGATTGATGTTTGTATACAGTTCTCTGTATTTGTTCTGTGCTACATCCCAAATTGGGTTGTATTCTTGCCCCCCTGTGTGGCTATTGTGGACATTCAACGACCAAGCGTTGAAACCATCCCAAAGTCAATCACGATCTGTCAAAACATGGTCAAGGCCATATAGCTAGGTCGGTCCAATGTACATGTACAGGGCATCTGGCTAGCTCGAGAGGAACCAATTGCGCAACAAACACATTGCAATACTCGATTTTAACTCAAACATGTACAGTAGGTCACTGTAGGCCTCAAATCTTTCAAAAAGGAATAGTACATAGTATCGGCATACCACGTTTCTCGGCCCCGGTGCATCAGGATGCCAAAAATGGACACGATGTTAACATGTGGGAGTTCAAGTCAAGCCCGCCACGTTGGTGGACAAGCTGAAAAACATAGAAATGAACAACAAATACAAAGCAACAAAAAACATACAAAGACAAACAACTATCCCCCCAAGAGACACCAAACAGTTGTGTAGGCGTTGAGAAACCAGAGAAAGCAAAGAAACAGACGGAAGTCTTTAGAGCTCTAGAGGCCTAGACTTTTGGAGGTCTAAAAGGTCTAGAGATCTAGAAGTCTGGAGAGCTCTGGAGGCGTAGAGTTCTGTTCATACTGCACCTGCCACGAAATCTGCACTTCAAGGTCCACATAGTACTGCGCCTGCCACGAAATCTGCACATCAAGATTCACATCACGCAGCCCTGCCAAGGCGATTTGCCGCAAGACTACTTCCAAAGACCACACCGATCAAAATGCCAAAACGCGGCCTTCCCTAAGACTTCATGCGATTTCTGAAAACGAGCCACATGTCAGTTCCAGTGTCACGATTCACCGCACCTGCCACGAAATCACACCACGCCAAACACCACCACCATGGTGTGCCTGCCACGAAGTCTGCACATCGACATAAGACCGCTCCGATCTCCGGCACCTGTCACGGAAGGCCGACGTTGGACCACCAAACCACGATGATCACCAAGTCCCAAAGAGATGAGCACCACAACGAGAGTGCAGTCTCCAAGAGCACCCGCCGCGGCCACCAGATTCTGCGAGTCTACACAGTCGAAATGCACTTCGAAGATCTCGAGGTGAATCAATGTACTGCAAATAGCAGCGAATTAGCCGCAAACGCCGATGAGCACCTCCGATCAAACACCCGTCCTTAACCACTATACTATACCATAAGAACCCCGGGAATGAACATGCCTTCAAACAAAATACAATAATACCAAAAACCAAACAACTTGGATCTCAACTCCGCCTCAAATCGATTCTGAGCCGGACCGCACTGAGAGCTGCCCGAGGCCGGAGGAGTTAAACATGTGTGAAGCCCGACCGTGAATGGATCTATAAATCCGCCGACCCCACACCGTGGGGTGAGGCGTGACTGTCGATGTTAGCCTTAGCCTTAAGCCTTAGCCTTAGCCTTAGCCTTAGACCTTAGACCTAGTCCTTAGCCTTAGACCTACACCTTACCTCCCCTACCCCTCCGGACCCTTGTCGGAGTGACGAAATCCTGCCGGGATTTCTCCAGGAAAGCGACCTGGATTGTCCAAGAATCTGCCATCCCCAATTGATTTACATCTTGGGGCACCCTCTCGACCCGCGCGGGAAAATAAGCACGGTCCAAAATGTCCTGGGCTCGAATCCCGGGCTGGTCGCGGCATGGTCCCGGCCAATGCCCTTGTTTTTTTCGTAGATTTTGTCACGTTTTCTGTTGGTTTATGAGATTTTCAAAGGCTTTTCCGGCATTTTCCTAGGAATGCTCTAGGCTTTGTCTAGATTTTGTTATGTTTTCGGCTGGAGGCTTTTCCAAGAATTTTCTAGCGCTTCCTCTTGTTTTTAGGTTCCCAGATTTCACCCAAAAATTGGTAACCTTTTGCTAACCTATGGCACTTTCAAAGGCTTTTCTAGCATTTTCCTAGGAATGCTCTAGGCTTTGTCTAAATTTTGTTATGTTTTCGGCTGAATGCTTTTCTAAGAATTCTCTAGTGCTTCCTCTTCTTTTTAGCTTCCCAGATTTACCCCAAAAATTAGTGACCTTCTGGTCCCGGCCAATGCCCTTGTTTTTTTCGTAGATTTTGTCACGTTTTCTGTTGGTTTATGAGATTTTCAAAGGCTTTTCTGGCATTTTCCTAGGAATGCTCTAGGCTTTCTCTAGATTTTGTTATGTTTTCGGCTGGAGGCTTTTCCAAGAATTTTCTAGCGCTTCCTCTTGTTTTGAGGTTCCCAGATTTCACCCAAAAATTGGTAACCTTTTGCTAACCTATGGAACTTTCAAAGGCTTTTCTAGCATTTTCCTAGGAATGCTCGATCGATTCAGCCCAAGTCCGGGCGCCGATACTTGTGGCACTTGAATGTACCCTAGACCGATGGTAAATCTGGGAGGTACACCAAAAGTCGACTTTTTGGGTACCTGCTTTGGTGGTGATGGGTTGGGTCACCGGGAGAAACCGATCGATTCAGCACAAGTGCGGGCGCCGAGTCGACTTTTTGGCTACCTGCTTTGGTGGCAACGGGTTGGGTCGCCGGGAGAAACCGATCTCCTGTGGGAAGAAGGGTTCAGCATCACCGGGCTCATGCAAGCGATGACGTCCGATGGTAAATCTGGGAGGTACCCAAAAAGTCGACTTTTTTTGGTACCTGCTTTGGTGGTGATGGGGTAAATCTGGGAGGTACCCAAAA